AAAAAAAAAAAGGGCTTGTTATGCTAAAATATTAATTTTATCATTTACTTTTAGTTTGAGCAGAGTTTGCAAACTGATAGCTCTTGGGCCCAAGTCGATCTATAGATGTGTTTTTTGTGGCATATGTAGTTCTTGTTTGTTGTTGTTGTTTATTTGTCATAGTATTTTACAATTGGAACCTCATCCATAAAAATACTTTAGAAATATTAACCTTCTTTTGATCTGTTGACATGCTAAACTTTCTTTACTAAAGAAAAAATTTAAAAACACGAAAACATTTGACTCTCCATATAATTGTTATGACTATATTGTTAATTGATTACATTCAATGAAATCCAGAGCAGAATAATGTGAGAAAAGAAATAGCAATGCTGTTTAAAAAAAAAAAAAATCTATGAATTCAATGAAACACAAAATGATATTGATAATAAAACGAAATAGTTAAAGGAGATAATTAAATTCAAATACTAAATATGGAAAATGAAATCCATGCACTGAGGTTGATATCTTTAATTGACAAAATATGCTCCCACTTTAATAATTAAGAAAATTATACATTAGAATTTTCAATGATCTTGTGGTGATTGCCACATTAATGCCCCATGAATCATTCTTCCCAGTACCTGTGCCCTTGTGGATCCCCTTCCGAATCGACTCTGGATTTGGCCATGTGTCTGCATTGGCCCATGGGGACATCAGCAGACATGATACAAACAGATGCTTGGTAAGTGTTTGTATGTTGAGGCTTTAGATCACCAAATAGTACAATTTACTTGAAATGTCACAGATATCTCTAACTGCCAAGTCAGAATCATAATAATAATCACTAAGAGACTCTGCATCTAGATATTTGGCTACTTAAGGAAAATTAGAAGGTTAGCAAAACCTAATGGATTATGTTCATTCCTAGTCACCGTGGTAGGCCAACCATACCCAGGCATTCATGCTCTTAGACCTGGGCTTGCCACTCAGCATTCTTAGAATGATGCTATGGTCACATGAAAGGGCCCATTTAGCTTCTTTTAAGATGAAAGACCGCATGTAAAGAGAAGCTAGTCATCTTGGCCTCCAAGTGAGCCCTGCCACAAGCCTGTGGACTTGCAGACTATAGCTGCATGTATAAATGCAGAGACCAAAAGATTTCTTCTACCTCCTTCTCTCTCACTTGTAGATTAATTAAGTTACTTACGTGGAACAAACCTGTAAATTAAAATATTCTTAATAAACTTATACAAACCTGTAAATTAAAATATTTGTAATAAACAAAACATTGCTGTATTCCGTATTCTAAAATATGAACATAATTATATGTATTAAAATTGTTTGAATGCCCAGGGAGTGTGGAGAGTGAGGATAAATAAATGAATAAAGTTAAAGCCAAAGTGTAGTCTATCACATCCAAGATTTTTTTTAAAAGGAGCTAAAAAATGATGACTCATGATAAAAGCAATTTTTATTTTTTGAGTTATTTATTTATTTATTGTATCTTTATTGGAGTATAATTGCTTTACAATGTTGTGTTAGTTTCTGTTGTACAACAAAGTGAATCAGCTATAAGTATACATATATCCCCATATCCCCTCCCTCTTCAGCCTCCCTCCCACCCTCCCTATCCTACCCCTCTAGGTCATCACAAAGCAACGAGCTGGTCTCCCTGTGCTATGCAGCAGCTTCCCACTAGCTATCTATTTTACACTTGGTAGTGAGTATATGTCAATGCTACTCTCTCACTTCGTCCCAGCTTCCCCTTCCCCTCCTGTGTCCTCAAGTCCATTTTCTACATCTGTGTCTTTATTCCTGCCATGCCACTAGGTTCATCAGTACCGTTTTTTTAGATTCCATATATATGTGTTAGCATACGGTATTTGTTTTTCTCTTTCTGACTTACTTCACTCTGTATGACAGACTCTAGGTCCATCCACCTCACTACAAATAACTCAATTTCGTTTCTTTTTATAGCTGAGTAATATTCCATTGTATATATGTATCACCAGTTTTGAGCAATTTAATTACGTGCCTACATGTAATTTTTGTAAAGTTTCTTGTGCTTGGGGTTCGTTAAGATTCTTCAATCTGTTGGCTGATAGCTTTTACCATATTTGGACAATTTTTGGCCATATTTCCTTCAAATACATTCTTTAGTTCTCCTACCTTTCCTTTGAAAATTCCAAATTTTAAGAAATTTTTTATTTTGGAGTAATTTTTAATTGCACAAGTGCTGCAAAAGTGCAGGGAGTTGATGTGCACTCTTCTCTCAACTTCCCTATTATTAAGATCATATGTACTGTGGTACCTTTGTCAAAATTAAGAAACTAACGCTGGTACATCACTATTAACTAAACCTCTATTACTTGGATTTCATCAGTTTTTCCATTAATGTTCACTTTTTGTTCCAGGATCCAATCCATGATACTACCTTGCTTTTATTTGTCAAGTCTTAGTCTCTTCTGGTCTGTGACTGGGGATATTAATTTTAATAATATATTTTAACACAATATATCAAAACATCATTTAAAACTGATCAATATTTTAAAAATTATCAATAATGTATTTTACATTATTTTTTCATACTAAATCTTCAAAATCTAGTGTGTATACTTACAACACAAATTAAACTCAGACACTTTCATTGGAAGTACTTCATCTGCATTTAGAGCTCACAAAATTTACAGTTGAAAAAGTAGATTCATATTCTCCAGTTGTTCCAATATACTTAAAATTCTTCCAATAATTGCACTGAGTATCAGTTTTTAAATTTAAATTAACTAATTAAGAAATTCAGTTCAGTTGCAGTAGCCATAGTTCAAGTGCACGATTGCCCTATGTGGCTAACAGCTACCATATTAAATAGTGCAGTTCTAGACCACTGTAAGGACTTTTGCTTTTATTCTGAGCTCTGAAGGGTTTTGAGCAAAGGAGTGACATGATCTCATTGAAGATTACTCAGCTGTGCTGGAGAACAAATTGAGGTGAGGGCAGAAGCTAAGAGACCAGCCAGGAGGCTACTGCAATAACCCAGGTGAGTGAGGCAGGTGCTCGGTACTAGGGCAGTAGCAGTAGAGGTGGAGAAAGGTGGTAGGATTCCAGGACTACCTGGTTGGACCTGACACAATCTGCTTACAGATTAGATGTGGGGTCAGGAATGACACCAAGATTTGGGGCTTAAAAATGGAACAAGGAATGTCTTTTACAGAGAAGACTTTGTAGGAAGTACGTTGGGAGTGGGGAGATCAGGGGCTGTTTTGAACATTTTGAGTTTAAAATACCTATGAGACAGTTAAGTGGAGACGTTAGGTAGACAGTGGATATTTGAGTCTGGGGTTCAGGAGAGAGAGTTCTGCTGGGGTTATACATTTGGGAATCGTTAACACATAGATAGTATTTTATTTTATAAAATATTTATTTACTTTTGGCTGCGTCAGGTGTTGGTCTTAGTTGCGGCACGTGGGACCTTTCGTTGGGGTCCCCCAGCTCTCCAGCTGTAGCGCACTTGTGGCACACAGGCTTAGTTGCCCCGCAGCCTGTGGGATCTTAGTTCTTGACCAGGGATCGAACCCACATCCCCTGCATTGGAAGGCAGATTCTTAACCTCTGGACCACCAGGGAAGTCCCCAACGGTGGTATTTTAAAAGGTAAGATTTGAGGACTTCCCTGGTGGTCTAGTGGTTAAGACTCCCCTGCTTCCAATGCAGGGGGCACAGGTTCGATCTCTGGTGAGGGAAGTTCCGCATGCCACAGAGTGCGGCCCCCACCCCAAAAAAGAAAAAAGTAAGATTGGAGGAGCTTACCAAAGGAGTGAGTGTACAGAAAGAAGAGTTAGTAGCAGAATTTTCAGGAAAATGCAATTTTCAAAATGCATTTCAAAACGCAAGTTTTGAGATCAGGCCCCAAAGAGATCAACAAGAATTGGTGGAATAGTATATTCCTCCAATTAAAAGCAGTGTTAGGCTCAACGATGCAAAGGTAGTGATTAGCCAACCAGGTATAGCAAATCATTTTGCTGTGCTGAAGCAAAAATACAGAGCCAGAAGGTATGGAAAGATGTATTCGGTGAGGAAGGGCTTTCAGGCTGGCCGGGTGGCTAGTCAGAGCTGGGAATGCGAGGGTTCTAAGGACAGCTTTGGAGTTAACAAGTGACAGCTGCAGTTAGTTTCCTACACGTACACAAAACTAACCAACCTGTCCTGCCACAGAGCATATGTCATAATGCGGGTACAACAGGCATCTCGTTCCGCAAATGAAGAGAGGCACTGCCTTGGACCACAAAGCCACTTAGCCGCAGAGCCTCGCCCTCGCGTAATTACCAGGGAGGTGCCCTTCCCCCGAGGGCACTTGAGCTCTAAAGTGGGACAGGCCCGGAGGGAGGGGGGCTAACAAGGCGAGTTCAGAAATACCAACAGTGATGGGAGTGTGAGTTTTGCGCAGAATTCTGACAAACGGGAGGGCCTTGGCTTGAAGACGAGGCATACAGTCATTTAAGTATAGTGGAAGAACTAAGGCTAGTGGAAGCTCAAGGACAAAAAGCACTGAGATTCTTGAGTTGGCGCTGTGAACTATCCTTCCTGGCCGCATCCTCCCTAAGTCGGGCAGTGAGGAGCCTGAAGAACCGAGGAGTGAGGGGGCTGTGGCGGGGAAGGGCCGACTGACACGGCCCCTTTTAGGTCCTGATGCTGGGAGCAGCGTCCGCACTCCTATTTTCCTTTCACCGGGTCACTCTGCCCGGGAGTGGCTAGCTCTCGGGCAAAACTACGACCTGGTTAAACGGGAAGGTGCAGGAAAGCCAGTCTACCGGCGCCCCGGGGACACCCGCTGACGGCCAGCATCTCTTTGACTCCCGGCGCCGAGTGGACAGAGTCAGACCGGAAGACCCCGCGGGGCTGGGCTCGTGGGCCGCAGTAGAAGGGGCGGTGCCAGGGCACACGAACCAATCACGGCAGACGTGTTCACGTAGCTAGCACTGGCCAATAGGCGGCCGCGGCGACCGCGGCGGGGAAATTCAAACGTGTTTGCGGAGCGGGGCTGGGATTCCATCTTTTGTTCTCAACTCAGCTTTCCGGCGGAGAGTCCGACCTTACCGGCGCACGGAGGGACGGCGGCGGCCGGTGTGTGGGCTCTTTAGCCGCGCCGCGCGGGCCGGTGAGCGGTGGGGGCGAGGCGGGGAGGGCTCACAGCCTGGCAGAAGACGTAGGGTGCGGCTCAACGGGCTGGAGGGGGAGGGGCGGGCTCTCTGCCCCTCCAATCCTCCCGGTAGTGCCGGAGATTTTTTTTTGTTGAGAACCCGGGAAACGAGAGGTAGATGTGGACTTGGCTGGAGAGAGGGCCTGGCAGGGCATCTGGGGAGACTCCCTCTCTTGTCTGGTGTTTTAGAACAGGGAGAGGAGATGGTGGCCGTGATTCTGACAGTTACCTTTGGAACCTGGCTTCAAGGGGTGATACCTAGCTGCCCGCTTTATCCCCCTTTTTCATTGTTACGCTCGAGGTCTGGGGCGCCATTGATATCAGTGGCCCTGGGTTACTGGATTGATGGGTTTGAGAATCACAAAGATGAGATTGACAGGAAGAAAGACTGCGGACACTGCGGACTAAACATCAACACCATGCAGATGAGCAAGTGCTCAGTACTGTACTAATACAGTAGATTCTTGGTATTAGAATGATTAAGGTAGCACATCATGTTTCTGCCAGATATGCACAAGAACAAGCTGCTGATACCTCATTTATCAATAAAGGGCAGTGATGTTGCATGTATCATGCTTTGAAAGCACTTGCAATGTGCAGGTTTACTGACATAAAGCAGATGAATAAATGAATGGTTATTCTCACTACCAAAAGGGTTTTTTTATGCCTATATGTCACTACCAGAATCCAAGCAAACATACCATCACATTTTTTTAAACGACTGAATTTGCAGATGGCCCAGAGGAAATAATTCTGGAAAAAGAGTGAAAGGAAGGCAGAGAAGAAAAATGGAAAGTTTGAAAGGGGGCAGCAACTTCTGTGTTGTGCAATGGCTTCATTGACGTTCTGGTGGAAAGAAGAGGTGGACTTACGTGTTGGAATCCTTGCTGGGTAGATTACAAAGACATGCTGTTGTTTTTGTGCACATAGCTTCATAAATACTACCTTGATAATATCTGTGTTGAGATATTCATATTTATAATGCTTTAGTCTCCTGGGTTCTAAAAGGCTAGTTGCAACATTTTTTTCTTTAATGCTAGTAAAAATAGGAATTCTGAATAGTTCGATTTTTTTTTTCCTTAGAAATGGAGGCTGAGGATTTAAGTGGCAGAGAATTGACAATTGATTCCATAATGAACAAAGTGAGAGATATTAAAAATAAATTTAAAAACGAAGACCTTACTGATGAGCTAAGCTTGAATAAAGCCTCTGCTGATACTACAGGTGAGTTCCCTTGTTTTGAATACCTCTGTGGTAAAGGAAGGAAATGTTAACCACTGGGTGTTCACATGGTGTACTTTTCTCAGTAATTGACGCTCACCAGTTAGAGTACAAACATTTTATGTTTTAACCCTTTTGTGTGGAAATATTCCCACAATTTTCCACTTTCTTAAGAAAGGACACTTAACATCACATATTACAGTGTGCTCAGAGGTAATTTTCATAACTCTTCCATTATTGGTAGCTCTCATTTCTGCTGATATGCCTGCCATCAATAGGTATGCCATTTTTTTTCCATTCCTTTTTTTGCTGCAAACTGAGAAAACCTCACCAATCTCAATAAAAGGATGTACAGGTTTAAGGTTAAACACTCAGTATTTGATTTGAAGAATCTTCCTCTTACTCTCCTGGCCTTTCCTATTCTCCCTTGCTCACAGCAGCTTCCTTGCTATGCCTCCTGTGTGCTGGACCAGCTCCTATCCCAGTGCCTTCGTCCTTGCTCTCTGCCTGGAACACCGCTGCCCAGCTACCTGCCCACTCTTACCTCCTTCAAGTCTTTGTTCAAATGTCATCTCATCAAGGCCTTCCCTAACTCACCTATTTAAAATAGCAACCTGTGGGTTTGGGTGTGTGTCCCCTGTTTCCTTTCCCTGTATTATTTTTCTCTATAGCACTAATCACTTTATATCTCATTTACTCATGTGTTTATTGTCTCTCTCCTCCACTAGAAAGTGAGCTCTCTGAGGGTGTGGCTTTTATCTGTTGTGTTGTGTCTGCAGAACTAAGAATGGTGCCTAGCAAGTAGTAGGTACTTAAATGTTTATTGAATGATGAATGAGTGAAAGTGCCCAAAGTTTAATGCCCTAGTTTTATGAAAAGTATTAGCTCAGAAGCCGAATTCTTTACTATATTTTAGATTGTTGAGATTTTTGAAAAGTGACCTTTGGATAAGTTTGTTGTATCTGTACTAACCATTAAGTGGATGAGGGATTGAAAGCAAATGGAAGAACCTATAACTAGTCATGATGGCAGGTCATATTCACTTGAAACCACTTAGAAACTGATCATTTTGGTGTTAAGCAAATTCTTAATATGGTGATATTCTATCACCACACTTTGTGTATTTAAACAGTGGTAACAAAGCTTGTATGCCAAGGTAGATAAGTCCTTATTTAAAATCTTTAGTTGCTCAAAACTGTGAATACTTAACATATATTGATAATTGGGATGTAAAACATGATACTGAGGAAGATTAAAACCGTGGTTTCTAGATGAGAAGAATTTAGTATCTACTATGCTGCATTGTAACATATGTTTGACATCGAATGAATACTAACACAATAAGACAGGATGCTTTAAGGTTTTAACAGAGGGAGAATGAGGTATGAGAAATACATCTTCAAAGACCTTTTTTTAGACACCTTGAAGGCTAACTTGTTAGGAAGGCGATGGGAGGTAAAACTGAAAATGAAGTTAAGATCAGACCAGATTAAATTTAAGGGTAAAAACAAAGTTATGAATCTGTTTTTTTGGTTTTTGGTTTTTTTTTTTAGTAAAAAGCAGAAACAGTAATTTTGTTTGTAAAAGCAAATATTTAACCCTTGTTGAAGGTAACTGAAACTAATAGAAGGAACGATAGTTTCTCTGAGAAATCTAAATATAATAATGTTTAATAATGACTAAAATATCCTGAACAGGACAACTAGTAACACTAAAGAAGGTTAAAAATAGATTAACAACATGAAAATTTTGGAGAAATGTGGGTAAATTGGAGGGAGAGGAAAATGACCATACTAGTTGCTTATCTTTTGTAAATTGGTTTTGTTTGATCGGTTTAAAACTAAGTTTGAGGAATATGGATATAATGTTGGATCAATAAGGTTGTAAAGGTTATGTTAGGACTAGGGCAGTAAGTTTCTAAATTTTGAATGAATAAGTATGAAGAATTTTCCAAGAAAGTTGGTACTGGTGGTGGTGAGAGAGGCTCAGGTTTTCTTTGCATCGTTAGGACGCTAAGATAGAATTATGCTGCTGCAGCATACAATATTCTTAGACTGCATATGGTTTTCTAAAGCTCCTCATAAACATTTATTTCCAAGTTTTTTTTCCTTCAAAATATATAGCTTTTTGTAGTACAGTATACCATCATAAAAATATATATACAGTAAATAAGTTTGCTTATATTTACATGAGTTGTTAAAGTTTTAAAAAAGTATTTTAGGGAGTTTGTGTATGTTCATACTGAGAGTATCAGTGATTAACTGTAATTTGAAAGAAAAGTGCAATTTGGCATTTGTTTTATGTCTTTCCTCTGTTGTGGTATATTTTGTCCCCTGTTCAGATAACTCGGGAACTGTTAACCAAATTATGATGATGGCAAACAACCCAGAGGACTGGTTGAACTTGTTGCTCAAACTAGAGAAAAACAGTGTCCCTTTAAATGATGCCCTTTTAAATAAATTGATTGGTCGTTACAATCAAGCAATTGAAGCACTTCCTCCAGATAAATACGGCCAAAATGAGAGTTTTGCTAGAATTCAAGTGAGATTTGCTGAATTAAAAGCGTAAGTATTACCATTTTAACTGCATTTAGCTAACTACATTACATAACACATAACTACATCACCAAAAGGTAAAATGAAAACATGTTGTCAGAATTACTTGTAAGAAATTTAATATTTTTTGACGAAATCCTTTTGTTTATAATTAACAAGTGAGTAATGTAAACCTTTATCTTTACTATGTACATATTTCCACAAAGTTACATACTCTAGACTCTGCCTAAAAAGATTGTAAAAATTAACTTATTTAATTTTACATACAGAAAAAAGAACAATATCCTGTGTCTTCTGGAAAATAGAATGAGGAGTTATCAAACTTAGGCAAATGTGTCTTTTTTCTTAAAGCTTGACTCTGAAATCTTTATTTCAGTATTCAAGAGCCAGATGACGCACGCGACTACTTTCAGATGGCCAGAGCAAACTGCAAGAAATTTGCTTTCGTGCATATATCTTTTGCACAATTTGAACTATCACAAGGTAATCTGAAAATGTCAAGTCCGAATTTTAAGTAGAAGATAACTTCCTACTGTAACGTACATTCGAATATTAAATCATGTGTATGAAATAGAAGTATGAGGCAAAACGTCAGGTGAGAATATGGGGGAAGAATGCTACCTAAGTGTACATGTGGAGAATATTTGTCATACTGGCCCTTCCACTTGTGAGGAGTAACCCAGGAAGATAAGCATGAACATCACGTGTGTGCTATTAGATTCAGGAAACATCTAAAGGAAAGTGGCTTCTTTACTGAGTATTTCTGGGATGAGGATATAAGATATTTAAACCAGAGCTTAGATAAGTTTATCTTGTGCGATGGTGTCATAGCACCAAAATATATATCAGAATATAATTGTAGCATTAATTGGTAGTTCAATTAAAAAAAAGTAAACTGCTGTAGAAGCTTTTATTTCTTGCTCACTTGGTTCTCCCTAATCTGGACATTTTAGATAGAACAAGGGCAGTCTCTTCCTCAGACACTTTTAGCCTGGCCATTAGCCTTTACTCCTTTCATTTTCTGGGGCCTTTGGATCTATCCTGCTGGCCCTCTGGCCATGTTTTCCTGTTTTTCCATTTGCCTTGTTGCTGCTCCAACCCTGATCCCATTTCCCACCAGTAATACACATATTATTACCATTTTTTCTTTTTGGCTCAGCCGGAATCCTTGTAGTCGTGTCCAAAGCAGGGCTAACTCCTTAGAGAGTGTTCGCCAAGACCGAGGTTGGAGAAAAGCACTGTATAAACTCAAATCCTGAACTTCTACTTATGCAGATGATTTCTGAGTCCTAGTTATCTGAATCATCTTCTCTGGTCTATCCTGTGCACTATCAGGTGACTTAAAAAAAAAAAAAAAAAATCATCCCTTTCCTGCCTAGGAGAACTGACTCACTGCTCGTTAGAGTATGGCCAGGCCTTTAAGATCATCTATCTCTCCTTCATTCTACTTTTTAAAATTTTTGAGGTGTTATGGCCTATCCACAGCAGCTATAAACTTATATCTTTAGAATACAAATTTTGAAAATCTCAAATTATATTATCTGTAAATAAGAAATAAACCTCATTGGTACCACTGGGATGTAGTAGTAACCTCAAGGTCCAAATTGTGATTATTTTGAACAAGGTTGATGAATAGGGTTTCAGGAAAAATGCAAAATCCCCAAAGTCCTATGTGCTTTTGGTGTGTACGTGTATTTTTGTAGGAGTGGAGGACATTCCATAGTTTTTATCAGATTCTCAAAGGGGTCTATGACCTTAGTAAGCTCCCTAATTACTAGTTCCTGTCCAAGCCTTTCTTTCTTCTTTTGCTGTCCTGAAATGCTCAATATATGAAATCTCAGTACTCTGAATAAATGTAGTCTTAGTCTCTATCAAATATGTTTATGTTCTTAAAATTTGTAAACTGTGAGAAACTAGAGGCTGACTCTTAACCATTTTTACACCCAAGTGCCAAGTGCATAGCATAGCCTAGTGGCTCCCAAAAATGCTAACACATTTCATAACATACATGAAGTATACATTTAATATTTATAAATGAAATTCTAAACTAAATGTATTGGGTAAGTTTGCAGTTGAAAGAAAATTTGTTTGGTAATTTATCTGTAGTCAAAAGGTGATTTTGGTAGTTTCTCAGTTATTTTGCATTTTGGGGGTGGTGTAGCTAAGTCTGGTAGCTGAAGATTAATCTTTATTGTTACATTTTTTCACATGAATCCTTTTGATGGGAATTCCCTTTAGCAAAAGGTGTCAACCTTAATGACTAAATGTTATTATAAATGATAATTATTATGCTGTGTTGTAACAGATTGATGCTCTTGAGACTGTTGCAACATCTAAGGCTTAGTTTTCCCTTTTACTAAATTCTCTCAAGTTTCTGTTTGAGTTGACCTTTGCTGCCCCCATTTTGTAACTGCTTTGCTAACATTTCTTTTACTTGTGAAAATGGACCGTGGCAATAAACCAATACATAATCACATCAGTTACATCTTACACAAGTAAACTGTTTGACATGACTTGTTATCAGAAGTGAGAAATTGCTTATTTTTTTATGAATAACGTGCGTGAGCCTTGGAGTAAACATTTTTGCCTAAGACTTTTCAATTTTTTTCCTAGGTCCTGATGAATACGCCTCTGGGGAGTAAAGGTTGCTGCATTAAAATGACGATTATTTTTTACTTTGTTAGGTAATTTCAAAAAAAGTAAGCAACTTCTTCATAAAGCTGTGGAATGTGGAGCAGTGCCCCTAGAAATGCTGGAAATTGCCATTCGGAATTTAAACCTTCAAAAAAAGCAGCTGCTTTCAGAGGAAGAAAAGAAGAGTTTATCAGGTAAATACGTTAGTGTGTGCTAATACTTTTCTGTGGTGTTTTGTCCTGCAAAAAAGGATTCAGGATAATATTTTATAGAAAAATATCATTTATTTAGAATGATCAAAATCTAAGATTACGTTTTAGATGTAAAGGAGGTAAGACTTTTAGAAGTAACAAAGTCATTACTTTCTTGTTGGAATTTTTTTTTCCCTAATCAAACTCTAATTGGTAACACATTAAAAACAGCTTGATCTAAAACAATAAGGTCCCACTGTATAGTACAGGGAACTGTATTCAATATCCTGTAATAAACAATAATGGAAAGGAATATGAAAAAGAATATATATATAAAAATTACTTTGCTGTACACCAGAAACTATTACAGCATTGTAAATCAACTATACTTCAGTTAAAAACAAACAAACAAAAACTTGATCTAGGCGAGAGAATGACTTTTTGCTATTAGAAATAAGGAATGTGTCTACTCTTGAGAAAACAGTTATATAATTATGGAATAGTTTTGAAGTATAGGTAGAGAATTATCTTCATAACATCTTCATGTCTGCATATCTTATTTGGGGACAAATATTTACTATGAATTGACTTTTAAAACATTCTTATTTATGAGATTACTTTTTTGTGTATTTCTTATGTCCTTATAAATTTAATTACAATTTCAAATGTTTACAGCATCTACAGTATCAAATGTGCAAGAACCGTTCCCCAGTACACTTGGACATTTACCGAATAGGAACATCAGTTGTGATTCCAGAGCACAGACTAAAGCCAGGTTTTTGTATGGGTAAGGAAACTGAATCCATTTTTTAAATGCTCGTCCTACATTTATATTATTTATACATCTGCATATATATTTTCATGTTACAATAACAGTGTTTAACAGTTGATGAAAATGCATGTGTCAGTATTATTCTTTTAAAAATCAGGAGTATTTTCTTTCTGTTTAGGGAGAACATACCCCCTCAAGATGCAGAGATAGGCCATCGAAATCCTTTGAAACAAACAAACAAAGCTAAACGAGTAAGTTATTTTTAACTCTGATTAAAATGGTAGTGGTGAGGTCTATACTGATTTCCTAGTTAGTTACTCAATCTTTCAAAACATTTTTAGTCATGCCCGTTCGGAAGAGTCCCAGTTAACCTTCTAAGTAGCCCGGATTACCATGAGAAGACAGATGCTTCAGTTGCACCACCTTTTACTAAAAGGTATGTTTGAGTTTTAATTTTTTAATTTGGTTTCAAAACTTGAAGATTGATGGCAGAATGATCTTAAAGTCTTTTACTATGTGAAAGTAATTATGATTACATTTTTATTTAGTATGAGTGGGAGATATGACTTTATTTTGCTTTTGCACTCATTAAAATATTCATTAAAAGAACTATTAAAGAATTAGGAAACACAGAGGAAAAAAGATTAAGTCAACACGAAGCTTAAAAAGACTATGCAAACAGCCCTGGGGTAAAAACTCCTGATGTTTGAACATTTCTCCCTTATGGTAGCCTCTCTGGTAAGACTCTTTTTAGTGGGTATGGAAGTCTCCATAGGGGTGAAGGGAGGTCTGGGAACAATTTCTTTTGCAGCTAGTTCAAGGAAAGGCGCAGCTATCAGTGGGAGAGATGATTAATTCACTCACTTGCTCCTTCTTTTTTTACATGTGCACCTCACTTTACAGTCAGCATAGCCCTTCTTCTTCTTTTTTTTTTTTTTAATTTATTTATTTTGGCTGCGCTGGGTCTTCATTGTGGTATGCAGGCTTCCCTAGTTGGCAGTGCATGGGCTCAGTAGTTGTGGCATGCAGGCTTAGTTACAGTATGTGGGATCTTAGTTCCCTGACCAGGGATTGAACCCTTGCATTGGGAGGGAGTCTTAACCGCTGGCCCACCAGGGAAGTCCCCACTCATTTGCTTCTGAGCCTAGGGCTTCAAGAAGTGGGGCAGGGTAGGTAGAGATGAAGTATTGTTCACTACATCTAATGTGTTCTCCTTCCTTCAACTTGAAAACTGAGAATCTCGTATTCCAGCTTAGCTAGGGGACCTCATTTTTCTACTCTATTTTTAACTATAACCACTATTCATTACATTATTTCTAATGGGAAAGGCTCCTTGGATGCTAGAAAATCATTTTACAAGTAAACTTTAGAAATATAACCGTTTGTTTTTAGCTGGTGTCTTCTATACTTAAATTCTTATTATACTTAGGGCTTGACTGAACATTGATATTAAAGAGCATTTTGGATGTCAAGGTTAAGCTCCAAAATCTTATGACTATTTTCTTGTCATCTCCATTTCAAGTGCTAGCTTAGGAGATTTTCTCCCACTCAAAAAAATAAACAAGCCAGCCATTTTCTTGGTGCTTGTTTTGATAGATTGTGAGCTAGGCAGTCTCCCACAGGAGGGCCTACACCCTAGTTCTTATCCTTAAGCTATTTGCAACCTGAAGTGTAGTTTGATCTACATACTGCTTTTCCCTTGTCCTTTCCCACATTCATACCTTGACTCCAGCTGTTACTTATTACATAACAGGGTAGGCAATCACCTACTTACTACTCATCTCTCTCACTTTTATCACTGCCCAGCACTTTAGTCACGTTTATACTGGAATCTTGTTATTTTTAAAAATATCTTTCCAGGGGACTTCCCTGATGGCGCAGTGGTTAAGAATCCTCCCGCCAGTGCAGGGGACACGGGTTTGAGCCCTGGTCCGGGAAGATCCCACATGCCGCGGAGCAACTAAGCCCGTGTGCCACAGCTACTGAGCCTGTGTGCCACAACTACTGAAGACTGCATGCCTAGAGCCCGTGCTCTGCAACAAAGAGAAGCCACCGCAATGAGAAGCCCACGCACCACAATGAAGGGTAGCCCCCGCTCGCCGCAACTAGAGAAAGTCTGCACGCAGCAACGAAGACCCAACACGGCCAAAAATAAATACATACATACATTCATACATTTATTTAAAAAAATCTTTCCAAGTGATTTTTCCAATTAAAAGGTGTACATATTGTTAAAAAGTCAACTTTAAAATTGAAAAAATAATTCGTTGAAATGATTGATTTCAGGTTAAACATTACGATTGTTTTGTTTCATGGGTAACAGACAGATCTCTGGATCAGAATGCCGAGATACAGTCGTTTCTGGATCTAAATCAAGTGGAAATGATTCCAGTGACTTGAGACATTTAACGGTATGTCCATTTTTAAATCTTTCCATGAAGCAAGGGTTCCTGACCCAGGGTCCATGGAGCTTTTTCCGGGAAAGGAGTCCATGATTTATGTATCTCCAGCAGTGCTCCTGAAGCCCCAAGATATGCCGGACCACTGACGGGAAGTGGCACATAAGTCCTAAACTGTTTCTCCTCAGTTGAGGTGGTAGGGCAATGATCAGCGATCTTCTGGGGTAACTCTGAATTAGCAATTATTATATAGTGTTTTAGCAGGTTAGTTGGCCTGGATTTGGGAATAGCGGGGCGAGCCATGCCCCCCAGCTTTTGTTTCTTGGTGTGTTTAATCATATGACCTGGCAGGGCATCTTAGACAAAAATGAGGGAGTGGCTTTGTGATGGGGCAGAGGTGAGGGCTTAGATAATCCTGGCGTCCTGATATGGCAGATGTGTGAACTTCAAAGACAGGAAACAGCTTTAATCCCTGGTGCACTGATTTTTAGGGGTTATACTATTGTTACTATAGTTGAGTTAAACCCCTGGCATCACAATGTAGGTCTTTTTGATTTTCGATTCCTTGTAATTTGTCTCTCTCTTTCATGGTCTTTGCTTTTAAATAATGAGTTTAACTAGTTTACAGCTATCTTAGAGAATAGTGCATAGTTGTGTCAAAAGTTTATTTTCTGGATTTAGAATAATACTGTCTTAGACTTATGCAAATCTTAATTTTGACCAGTGCTGTTATTTTTGGTGATAAAATATGATCACAGTAACAAAATAATGAAGTGTGTTTTATGTTAGATTCAAATTTTCCAACCTCTCGTTTTAAGTGACTAAATTTTACCATTTGATTAATATGTCTATTGAAAGTAAATTGGCCAGTTTTATGGTTGTGGCCATTCCCGTTGCTCTACTCAGTAATTCAAGAAGTTATCTTCCTTGCACGTGAGTCCACGTGCAAGTATAATAGATAATCTTCCTAGCAGTCTTTTCATATAGGCGAGACTTTAGTATACTGAACACTAAGACAGATTAGTACTACTTCCGTTGATGAGACTTTATATAAAATCCAATCAAATCTTATTCTTTTTATGTAGTCTGTTAAAAATATTCGTTCCAAGGAACCTCAGATGTCAGATGAGAAGAGTTCTGAACTTATTACTGATTCAGTAACCCTGAAGAATAAAAGTGAATCAAGCCTTCTAACAAAATTAGAAGGTAAGAGTGACAAAACAGACTACTTCTTTAATTAAGAGAATCACTTTGTACTTGTGAAAGTTGACCGGCCACCTAACAATTGCCATGTAAGACTATCTATGACTGTGTCCCTTTATCTTGTATTTCAGTTAAATTTTATAGATTGTATGAAAAGTATTCAATTGTATAGCAAAGAAAGTTTATTTGCCTAAAAGGTGCATTAAAGGAAGTTAGGAGGGAAAATACCGTGACACGGAGTTATTGTTCTCAGTTGGCCTGATAAATACTTTCTGGAAAGGACGCAGAGGCTGTATTTCTATGATAATTCTCCCTTTCCTCTTTTATCAAACATTTGCTTTTCCAATATATGAGTACTGTGGTGCATGTTCTAAGGATATATACATGAATGAGACAGGGTCCCAAGGAGATTGCCAAGCAGTGTGGGACATCTGCTGATAAATATAATGCTGGGTAGAATATAGAGTATCATGAGAACCACATCAATAAAATGCTATGAGGATTCAGTGCAAGGAGAAATCTGAGGAACTAATTCGGTTTAGGGGAAATAAGGAAATAGTTTGTGGAGGAGAAGAAACGTGAAGCATTGTTAGCATTTAAATAGGAAGAAATGGCAGTGATAGAGTATTTCAGATGGAGGGAGTAACATAAGCAAAAGAATAAAATATTCTAGGAACAAAGATGGTCAATTATGCTGAAAACTGTAGCACAGGTAGTATAGAAGTGGGAGATAAGACTAGTTAGACTTAGAATGTCAGGCTTAAATTTTTTATTTGTTTAGATGTCAGAGCACCATCAGAGGTTTTTGAATGGGATCATGAATTGGATGACCATTGTCCAAACAAAGTTTGCCAGATTGGGTGTAATGTTTTCTTTTGATTGGACTGAAGAGGAACACTGGGACTTTTCTGGTTTTAGCCCGGAAAGTCCCATGTCACAGGAGAGCCCTCCATCCCTGCAAACTGGGCGGCCATTATTTTGATTGGGAACATCAGCGTCCCTTCGGATCAGCAGGGCATTGTTTCCAGGATCCCCCTCGGCTGCCCAAATCCGCAGTTGCTCAAGTCCCTTCTGTAAATTGATGTGGTATAGTCAGCCCTGTGGAAGCTGCGGGTATGGAGGGCCAACTGTAGATTCCTCTTGCTAGTAATTGGGGGAAACTCATATTCTGTATTTTCATGGCACCTATTACAAACGGATATGATTGAAAAATCATCTTTACCAAAAATTCTTGTTTATAGTACTGACCTGGCACCTAATTTAATGCTTTCATTTCTTTCACACACATTTCCGTCAAGTGTATTCCGAGTGGGGCTGTGGGGTCACAGGACGTTGTATATATTCGTCTCATCGATAGTGCTGGACGGTTTTCCAAAGTGTTGTGTTTCACCAGCACTTATGTTACTCTTGCTCCACATTCTTCCCAATAGTTTTTATTGTTGGTTTTTAATGTTAAACATTCTGATTCTGCTAAGTGATATCTCGCTGTGGTTTTAATGCGCATTTCCCTGATGTCTAACGATGCTGAAGGCCTTTTTGTGTTCATCGGCCATATGGGTATCCTCTTGTGAAGTACTTGTTCAAGCCTCCCCAGTTTTTCCATTGGGTTTCCTTTCTTTCTCGCATTGATGTTAGGAGACATTAATATGATCTAGATACAGCTCCTTTGTTGGGTATATATTTTACAAGTAACTTCTCCTATTATGTGGTGAAGACTTGATGAAATTGTTAATTATCATGCATTTTAATTTATCAGTCTTTTCCTTTGTGGTGAGTGTATTCTGTGACTTTAAACAAATCTTTTCCTCCTCCAAGATCATAAAGATATTTTCATATATTTTATTTAATTTATTTTTTTATAAATTTATTTATTTATTTTTGGCTGCGTTGCGTCTTCGTTGCTGCGGGCGGGCTTTCTCTAGTTGCGGCGAGTGGGGGCTGCTCTCCGTTGCAGTGCGCGGGCTTCTCATTGCGGTGGCTTCTCTTGTTGCAGAGTTTGGGCTCTAAGCGTGCGGGCTTTAGTATTGTGGCGCACGGGCTCCATAGTTGTGGCTCGTGGGCTCTAGAGCACAGGCTCAGTAGTTGAGGCACACGGGCTTAGTTGCTCCGTGGCACGTGTGATCTTCCCGGACCAGGGCTCGAACCCATGTCCCCTGCATTCCCAATAGTTTTTATTGTTGGTTTTTATTGTTGGTTTTATTAGTTGGTTTTAGGCGGATTCCTAACCACTGAGCCACCAGGGAAGAAGCCCTTTCCATATATTGCAGAAGACATCATTTTACGTTTCACATTTAGAGTTATATTCTACTTGAATTTGATGTTTGTGTATAGCTAAGATCAAGTGTCTGGATTCATTCTTTTCTCCCCATGTGGATATCCAGTAGATCCAGAAGCATTTATTGAAAAGACCCTTTTTCCCCTCAGTGATTTGTTATAAATTAGATGAGTCTATGTTTGATGTCTGGTCTTGAATTCTTCTCTGTTCCATAGTCCTTTGTGTCTTTGTGCTAATACTGACATAATTACTGCAGTTAAGTCTTCATATCTGTCAGTGTAAATTCCACCTTTGTTCTTTGTCAAAGCTATTTTAGTTATTCTAAGCCTTTTGGATTTCCATATAAATATTAGAATCTGTCAGATTTCCTTTTTTTTTTTTTTTTCCGGTACGCGGGCCTCTCACTGTTGTGGCCTCTCCCGTTGCGGAGCACAGGCTCCGGACGCGCAGGCTCAGCGGCCATGGCTCATGGGCCCAGCCGCTCCGCGGCATGTGGGATCTTCCCGGACCGGGGCACGAACCCGTGTCCCCTGCATCGGCAGGCGGACTCTCAACCACTGCACCACCAGGGAAGCCCCATTTTTTTTTTTTTTTTAAATGGGATTTTGATTGAGATCTAGTGGGACAGGTTGACATCTTAACAGATGAAATTTCTAGTCCACTAACCTGGCATATCCCTTCATTCATTTAAGTAATCTTTAAAAGATTATTGAAGAAATACTTTTCTGTGTAGAGATTTTGCTTATCTTTTGCTAGAGATGTACTTAAAGATCTGATTTTTTTTTTGATATGATAATGAATGGGATCTTTTTAAAAAAAAATACTTATCCTCTACTTTGTTGCTGATATGTAAACATACAACTGATTTTTAGCTATTTATCATATTTACAGTGACATTGCTAAAGTCACTGAATAATTCTAATATTTTCCTATAAATTCTTTCATGTTGTTTGAAAATAATGTAACATTTTTTGCCTTCCAGTCCTTTAACTTTCTTTTCTTTGCTGTATTGCACTTATAACCTCTAGCATAATGGTGAATAGAAGGAATGATAGGTGGCGTTTTTGTTCATTCCTTATTTTAGAGAGCCACTTTCATTATTTTACCCTCACATGATAATTGCCTTAGAGTCTTACAGCTATTCTTTATCAAATATCAAAACAGAGTGAGTTTTGCTTTATAGCTAGACTAAAAGTTTTTTTGTGACTGGGTATTGAATTTTATGAAATGCCTTTTCCGCATTTTTGGAGTTGACCACAGACTATTCTCCTCTATTATTATGGCAAATTGAATTAACTTTCAAGTGTTAAGCAACTTTGCATTTAGGAATAAACACAACTTGGTCATAATTTATTATATATTTTGTATATCAGTTGCAAATATTTTGTTTAGAATTTTTGCATCTGTTATGATAAGGACAGAATATTGACATTCATAAAATAGTCAATGTTATTGTTGAGGCTCTTTCGTTCAGGCGCTTAAGGAAGTAAATTACAGGCTAGTTTAACGTAAAAATTTTGTTAAAAAGCTAGAGGTCTATGAAAAGTGGTGAACTAGCTTCTCTTTATTAGTAAGACATACATGTTTTTAAATTTTTACTTATTTATTTCCTTGTTTTCTGGTAAAGACCAGAAGCATTTAAATTCAGAATGGTCTTTGGTAAAGCTCTAGGTAACAACCAAGGAAGATGGCTGTTGCAGCTTTGAAAAATTAACTTGCTAAAAGCAAATTGTCAGCAGCTGGCTTAAAGTTTTTAGTTTCTTTGTTTTTTAAGAGCAAAATGCTAATACAGTTTTTTAACATGTTCTATCATTTAGGTTTATTTTGTTATTATCAAATAGTCTTGCCTTTTAATGACAATAGCAACAAATACAATTTCAGAAACTAGAGAACATCAAGAACCAAAGGTTCCAGAAAGTAACCAGAAACAATGGCCATCTAAGAGAAAGTCAGAATGTGTAAACCAGAATCCTGCTGCATCTTCAAATCAGTGGCAAATTTCAGAGGTAATCTCAAAAGTTGATACAGAGGTAACTTTCCTTTTCAAGTGTAGCATTGCTATTGTTCATAATGTGATGATCATGTTAAATGTTTTCTTCTTTTATTAAATTCTTGTGTACCATATTTAGTGGAGCAGTTTGCTCAAGTGTGTGGTGTTTTGTTTTTAATTCACAAAACAATGATCAGTAATAAAGGTTTAGTTTAGTAAGAATATATGTCAAGCTGAATTCTTTTCTGTTTTCAATAGTATTTTTGGATGCTGGTAGACTGGGGCAGGGGTCAGCAAACTACAGCCTAGGAGCCAAATCTAGTTCCCAGCCTGTCTGTAAACAACATTTTATTGAAACACAGCCATACCCGTTTATTTACTTACTGTCTGTGCTTGCTTTTGAACTGTAACAGCAGAGCTGAGTAACTGCAGCAGAGACCACCTGGCCTGCAAAGCTGAAAATGTTTACTATCTTACCTTTTACAGAAAACAGTATGCAGATGGCTGAACCAGTGCAATGCTGTACCAAGCATTTGACAATTTCCTATTGTCGTCCTCATGGATAAAATAGAAAAATATAGACTAGATAATGTGAATTCATAATAGGTTGAATGATCATTCCCACTGGCTGGGCTCCATTTCAGAAGCAAGGATCTGGTAGAGAGCCATACCTGTATGTAGTCCATGGCCATACTCTTGTCATTATTACTTTTCGGTTGTATTCTAACTCAGCAGTTCTCAAATATTTTGGTCTTGGTGCCTTCTTTTATACTCTTAATTATCGAGGTTCCTAAAGAGCTTTGGGGGAATTCCCTGGCAGTCCAGTTGTTAGGAGTCCTTACTTTCACTGCCAAGGGCCCAGGTTCAATCCCTGGTCGGGGAACTAAGATCCCACAAGCTGCATGACGTGGCCAAAAATGGGGAAAAAAAGAGCTTTGGTTTACGTAGGCTATGTTTATCTGTATTTGCTATATTAGAAAGTAAAGCCAATACATTTTTAAAATATTTACTAATTTATTAAAAATAACAAGAATAAATTTTTTACATGTGAATGTAGATACACTTAAAAATAAGTATTTTGTTTTATTGAGATATAACTGATATACAACATTATATTAGTTTTAGGTGTACAACATAATGATTCGATATTTGTATATTTGTATATACAGTTGACCCTTGTACAACATGGGTTAGAACTGTGTGGGTCCACTTATGCATGGATATTTTTCAATAAATATGTACTATAGGACTACATGATATTTGGTTGGTTGATTCCGAGAATGTGGAACTGTGGATACATAGCGCCAACTGTAAACTTATATGTGGATTTTTGACTTCATGGGAGGTTGGTGCCCCTAATCTCCCAGTTGCTCAAAGATCAACTCTATTGCAAAATGATCACCACAATAAGTCTAGTTAATATTCTTTACCATACATAGCTACAAATTTTTTTCTTGTGATGAGAATTTTTAAGGTCTACTCACTTAGCAACTTTCAAATATGCCATTCAGTATTATAAACTATTGTCACCACGTTTTTCATTACATCCCCATGATTTATTTATCTTGTAACTAGAAGTTTGTACCTTTTGATCCTCTTCACCCAGCCCCGCCCCCCCCCCCCCCCCCCCCCCCCCCCCCCCAGCAAACTATCTGTGAGCTTGGTGTTTTGTTGTTGTTGGGTTTTTTTTTCCCCCATGTAAGATTTTACATGTAAGTGATACTATGCAGTATTCGTTTTTCTCTAGCTATTTCACTTAGTATAATGCCCTCAGGGTCCATTGGTGTTGTCACAAATGGCAAGATTTCATACCTTTTTATGGCTGAATAATATTCCGTTGTGTTTATGTATTGCATTTTCTTTATCCATTCGGCCATCAATGGATATTTAGGTTGTTTCCATTTCTTGGCTATTGTAAATAATGATGCTATGAACATGAGGGTACAGATATCTTTCCAAGTTAGTGTTTTCCTTTTCTTTGGATAAATACCCAGAAGTAGAATTGCTAGGTCATATGGTAGTTCTATTTACATTTTCACCAACACTGCACAAGACTTCCATTTTCTCCACATCCTTGTCAACACTTCTTATTTCTTCTCTTTTTGATAATAGGCACTCTGACAGGTGTGAGGTGATATCTCATTGTGATTTTGATTTGCATTTCCCTAATGATTAGTGATGTTGAGCATCTTTTCATATATCTGTTGGCTATTTATCTGTATGTCTTCTATGGAAAAATATCTAATCACCTCCACTGTCCATTTATAAGTTGGTTATTTGATTTTTGGTATTGAGTTGTAATGAGTTCCCTGTGGTTTTTTTTTTTTTTGGCTGTGTTGGGTCTTTGTTGCTGTGCACAGGCTTTTCTCTAGTTTGCGGCGAGCAGGGGCTACTCTTTGTTGCTGTGTGTGGGCTTCTTATTGCTGTGGCTTCTCTTGTCGCGGAGCACGGGCTCTAGGCGCATGGGCCTCAGTAGTTGTAGCACACAGGCTCTAAAGTGCGGCTCAGTAGTTGTGACGCATGGGCTTAGTTGTTCCATGGCATGTGGGATCTTCCTGGGCCAGGGGTCGAACCCATGTGCCCTGCATTGGCAGGTGGATTCTTAACCACTGTGCTACCTGGGAAGCCCCTCCGTGTGTATTTTGGATATTAACCTCTTATTGGATATGTGGTTTGCAAATATTTTTTCCCATTCCATGGATTGTCTTTTCATTCTGTTGATGGTTTCCTTTGCTGTGCAGAAGCTTTTTAGTTTGATGTAGTCCTACTTGTTTATTTTTGCTTTTGTCTTTACTTTAGGTGTCAGATCTAAAAATTCATTGCCAAGACCTGTGTTAAGGAGCTTACCACCTATGTTTTCTTCTAGAATTTTTATATTTTAAGGTCTTATATTCAGGTCTTTAATTCATTTTGAGTGAATTTTTGTGTATGGTATGAGAAAGTAGTCCAGTTTCATTCTTTTGCATGTGGCTGTCCAGTTTTCCCAACACCATTGATCTATGTGTCTGTTTTTATGACAGTGTCATACTGTCTTGAATACTATAGCTTTGTGATGTGGTTTGAAATCAGAGAGCATGATGCCTCCAGCTTTGTTCTTCTTTCTCAAGGCTGCTTTGTCTATTCATGATCTTTTGTGGTTCCATATGAATTTTAGGGTTGTTCTATTTCTGTGAGAAATGCTATTGGAATTTTGATAGGGATTGCATTGAATCTGTAGATTGCTTTGGGTAGTTATGGTCATTTTAACAATATTCTTCCAATCCATGAACACAGAATATCTTTCCATTTATTTGGGTCTTCAGTTTCTTTCATTGGTGTCTTACAGTTTTCAGTATACAAGTGTTTCACTTACTTGGTTAAATTTGTTCCTAGGTATTTTATTGTTTTTAATGGGATTGTTTCTAACAGGTGTTTTTAGTGGAGTCTTTAGGGCTTTCTGTATATAATATCATGTCTGCAAATAGTAACAGTTTTACCTCTTCCTTTTCAATTTGGATACCTTTTATTTCTGTTTCTTGTCTAATTCCTGTGGCTAGGACTTCCAATACCATGTTAAGTAACAGTGTGAAGAGTGGGCATCCTTGTCTTGTTCCTGATTTTAGAGGAAAGCTTTCACCGTTGAGTATGATGTCTGCTGTGGGCTTGTCATACATGGATTTATTATGTTGAGCTATGTTCCTTCTGAAAAATAAGTATTTTTCAAATCAAAATAATTACAGTGAAGAGAGTGATATTGTTTTACAATTTTTACAATTTCTATAATGGTTGGCTTAACAGAAGACTGGATTTCTTGTATCTACTTTTGCATTCAATCTATTTCACTATCACATGCCTTCTAGCCTTGGGAAAACTCTAGTTTACATTCATGAAAGAATGAAAGTGAAAAAGGCAAATAATGTCCTAGTATGATTATGAAAATAGTTTTAACCTCTCAGACTCCAGGAAAAGATCTTGGGAACCCCTCTCTTTCTGCTATTTCTAGATCACTCTTTGAGAACTGTTGATCTAAGTAATGGAGTAGGTAACAAATGTTAGATGAGAAGAATCCTGACAGGTTGAACCTTGGACAAACAGCATTTCCTCTTTTTTTCTTTTTAAAACTTGTAAACCGGTAGAATGGTAAAGGGACTTAAAACTATTTATCTGTCATTAGGGAAATGCAAATCAAAACTGCAATGAGACACCATTTCATACACACTAAGGTGGCTATCATTAAAAAGAGACAGTAATAAGTGTTGATGAAGATGTGGATAAATGAACCCTCATACACTGCTGGTGAGAATGTAGAATGGTGCAGTCACTTGAAATGGTATGGCATAGCAGTATAACTTACCTCCACTGCTTCTTCTTGGGTCAAGGCAGAAGAGGACCATTCGGAGACCTAAATAAATGGTGATCACCTTACCAGAGTTATTATGAGGTGCTGGTTGAGAAAATTTACACTTAAGAAAAAAATCTAAATGTGCCTTCTTAAAAGAGATTTCCTACTAGTAATTTTCTGCCTTTTACTCCTGGTTGCACGTGAGGTCTAGTTTTCCTCTGCCTGCTAGTTGCCCTCCAGGTTTGCATCTATATGCTGCTTCATTAACTACCAACTTGCATTGCGCTATTCATAAAAATTGCTTTGTACGCTTAGTTATTTTATGTTTATTCATGCATTTTTTATGATCATATCAATTATAGTGCTCATTATAACATATTTAATTCCTAAGAATTTTGGGGGGAAGATATTAAAAAGTAAAGCACCTATCATAATTACTAATTGTGCTTAATTTGAAATTAGAATGTCCTGAATTTAAAAAAAAAATGGTATGGTAGTTCCTCAAAAGGTTACATACAGTTACCATATGATCCAGCAATTCTACTGCTAGGTATATACTCAAGGGAATTGAAAATATATATCCACACAAAAACTTGTACATGAATGTTCATGGCAGCATTATTCATAATTGTAAAAAAGTAGAAATAACCCAAATATCTATCACCTGGTGAGTCAATAAGCAAATGTGTTACTCTGATTTTATTATTTCATTTTTTTATTCAATAATAAAAGTAATGAAGTACTGATAAATGCTATAGCATGGATGAACCTTGAAAACATGCTAAATGATGGAAGCCTGTCACAAAAGGCCATATATTTTGTGATCCCTTTTATAAGAAATGTCTAGAATAGGCAAATCCATAGAGACAGAACGTAAATTAGTGGTTGCCAGAGCCCAGGAGGAGTGGGGAATGAGAGTGACTGCTAATACAGAGCTGCTTCTTAGGATGATGAAAACGTTCTGTAATTAAATAGTGGTGATGATTGCCTACTCTTGTGAATATATTAAAAACCACTGAATAGTACACTTAGGTAAAGAAGAAAAGACTAGGCAGTTTCTTGAGGTTGCTACTTCTGCAGCAGCCCACTCAAGTGGAGGCTGTTTTTGTCTCCCATCTCACTTACCTACAAGCTCCCCGAAGCTATGTCCAGACCATTTCTTCTCTTGCCAAAACCCTGTCCTTTTGAGGCGCCTGCCTTCTGGATATGCTCTCCTATCTTGCTCGTTGCCATCATCTCTGAACATCCTAGTGACTCCCCATCATTCTTTGAAAACATTAGGCTCTGGATCACTTCTTTCAGCTTCAACCCAACATCTATCATCACGTTTTGTTAGCTTCTCACCCCTATGTATCGCTAGTCCTACACCTGGCCTCCAGATTCATAACTTCTTCCTCCCTCATGCCCATTTCTTAATGTCACCTTAGCTACCCATTCCTATATTCTCAATTCTGATCTCCAAAATCTCAAATGCAAACATCCCGGTCTATGAGTACAACCATTCCACTTACCTTGCTTAATAATCTTACTATCACAGATTCTTAATACCATCCTGACCACTAATCCAGATATATATATGAGGAAGTCTTAAAGGAAGGGGAAAATTTACCCAGGAAAAGAGATACAGTGGCCATGCTAGCTATCTTCAAAAACTCAAAGGATTGAAATGCAGAAAATAGTATAGATTTATCCACTGTGGATCTCCAGAGCATAATGTGGACCCAGTGGGTTGAAATTATAATATAGAAGCTGATTTAACCTAAATATCTGTGAATACTTGCTAACAGCTAAAACTGTCCCCAAATTGAAGTAGAGGTAGTGAGCGCTCACTAATAGCGTTCAAGCAAAATGTGGTTTGCAGGAGTTGGCAAGCTTTTTCTGCAAAAGCCTAGTAAGCTTTGCAGGCCAGATGGTCACTGCTGCAACTCTTGAACTCTGTCATTATCTCATGAAAACAGCCACAGACAAGATGTAGGCAAATAGACATTGCTGTGTTCCAATAAAAGTTTATTTACAAAAACAAGCAGCAGGCCAGATTCAGCCAATCTCTACTGTAGAGGATGTTCATTATTGCTTTGGGATTTGTATGAGATAAATTCTACAAGCTCTATGTCTTTTACAAGGGAGAAAGAAGAACACTAGATAGGTATTTGCCATTTCAAATTTTGCTAAATAATTAGTATTTGGTCATTTTCCCTCCAAACATAAAAGTAGGGAATGATTTTACTGATTAAAGAAAGACTAGTTTTCTGAAGCACAGAGTACTTACTTAGATTATAAAAGTTCAATGCTAGTAGTAGTAGCCCTAATGGGAGAGGATATTAGATCCTGTTTTGTTAAACAATGCTGTGTACCTTCCCTCTACTTGTAGTCCCTTTGAGGAAAATATAACAGGCTTCAAAATTTAGAGTAAAAGAGCTGTACTAAAAAGTTATTGAAAGTCTGGAACACATACGTCTACCTATTTTAGCATGCTTTTGTATTTCATATGTTAATTTTCTTTTAGAAGTTATGTTTGTGAAACTGTTGAACAGGTGACTAATTTAAAAACCCGAAATCGTGATGTTTTTTATTTTGGTCTAGCAGAAACAAACCAGTTTTGAGCAACCTGCCCTTTCGGTTTCAAAGCAGTCGCCACCGATATCAACACCTAAATGGATTGACCCAAAATCTATTTGCAAGACACCCAGCAACAGTGTCTTGGATGATTACATGAGCTGGTAATTACTTTTCTTTGCTTGGTACAATAGAAATAATATGGGCTTCGGGGCCAAACAGATCTGGAGGTGGATCCCACTCTTTTACTTTAAACACTTTCCAAATTCATATTATTTTTCTCAGCATCAGTTTTTTTATCTGTAAAAGGGGAGGGGAAGGTGGCTACGATATATTTTTAAGGATTGTAATGAAAGTCTCTGTCATATTGTAATCTGTACCTACTATATATACTCTATACTTTTTATACTTACCTATAGGCAGTACCTTTAAATACTCTAAGTATGCAAAACTTCTTGATAATCATGCATTGCCACACGGATAACTCTCTGTAATTGAGAGAGAGATTTTAAAGGTTAGCATTCTTAGAGCGGGTAAAGTGTGGATACATTACACGGCAAAGGAGCTGTTAACTGGAGCGTGCTGGTCTCTGCTGGTGGTGCAGCTCATATAGTTCTGGTGGTGTTCAAGACCGGAGCGGCGGGCAGTGAGGGATGAGTGAAGAAGTTGGTCGGTGTTGATTGACAGGAAACACAAGGGATATTGAAAAGCAAATCAATGGCATTTCTAAGAAAAGAAAGAAAGGGATGTGGTATATCCTATAACTAGGGGCTATATTTTTAATGTCTTAGAGGATAACGGAAATCCATGATGCCTTTTGCTTTTCATTTTCATAATGTAATCTTTGATCTTAATTAGAACTGGCCTTGGGGTTTTATAACCTAGTCTCTTTCCTACTTAATACAATTTTGCTATATATTACCTAATTTTATTATACTTAGAATATTTTAAAGAATGACAGCTAACTAAGCAAGGTATATAGTTATTTCTTGCGAAACTATTTACTGTCAACAAATACTTGTAGAATTCCTTTGTGCCAAGCACCATTCTTGGTGTTGAGAATACAACAGTAGACAAGACAAGCAAAGCACGAACGGGAGCTGAGCTGCTTTATGCTCAAAGGCCAAACTCCTCTGATGTAATTGGCTTTCACATACTTCCAGGAGGCTGTGTAGAACGTTATCGTTAAGAAGCACTCATAAAATCTGTGATCAGCCATAGGCTGAGATTTGCCTTGGCTAAATTTTATAAAATAACCCCAACTCTATATTTTAAATGACATCTTATTTATTTTAATAAGGATTTCTTGTCTGGGGACAAAAAATTACTTTCAGAAAGAACTCCCCCAAAATGAAATTTCTGGTGATGGTGTCTCAAGGATAAATAATTCAGATGTACTAGGAAAACTCATTTGGATTCTGTTTGATGTAACACATGTAAATGTATATCCACCATACAAAATCTGAGTCAGAATCTTGTTTTCAAAGCTTTAATGTTTTAAATTTTGAAAAATACCTTTCCCAGTTTCAGGACTCCAGTTGTAAAGAACGACTTTCTACCTGCTTGTCAGTTGTCAACACCATATAGCCACCTTCCCTATTTCCAGCAGCAACAGCAGCAAGTACCCGTTACTCCACTTCAAAATTTGCAGGTTTGATAAGCTTTATTTATAATGGTACATGTTAAGGTATGATCAGTTTTAAAGGTTTTATTTTTGCAGGATCTAGTTTTTAAGAATGGTGTTAAAGACTTGTCCATTCTTAGTCCCATTAGGCAAAACTCTTTTCTGCTATTCTCATAAAGGTGCCTTATGACTTTGAGAGGTTAGTTATTGAAGAAGCTAATGAAGCTTTTTTCACTAACTAGCCCGAAGTATCTAGTTTGAGTAGCTAGATAAAATTTCTTCTGTAATCTAGGCTATTTTTTTATTCTGTTTAACAATGTAAACCAGCTGTTAGTGAGCAGCTTCATTTCACTGGCTGTTTAATATACAAGTAAATTTTTAAGAATATCAGAATAGCAATATGAGATACTACTAGAATATATTATAAAGTAGTTATTATAAAGTATTGATAAGGTAAAAAATTTTTTGCTGGTAAGGTATTGCCATCTGGGAAAAAAATTATTTAGAGACTCTCTCGACATCAATACTAAAATTTGTTTCTAATAACTATCTGAAAAGCAGCTTACTATTGATAGAAAGAATAGGCTTTGAAGGGAGACTGCCTGTCCTTGACTCTCGGCCTCACTACTTACCAGCTATGTGACCTTTTACAAGTTAAATAAACTCTTGTGCTCATTTCATCATCTTTAAAATGGGGGTGATGAACCTATCTACCCCATAGGATGATTGTGAAGATTGAATTAGTTAATATATACGTAGTTCTTACAACAGAGCCTGGTGCTTAGTAAATAATAAAATTTAGCAGCAATTGTTTAAATAAAACAGCAAAAAAAACCCCAAATAAACTACAAGTGATTAACTAAACAAATCAAGAGATTAAAAAACTAGACGACAGAAAGTAGACAATGGGTACCAGGGGCTAGAGGGAGAGAGGAATGGGGAGTTACTGTTTGAGGGGTGCAGGGTTTTTTCAGTATGAGATGATGAGAAGTCCTGGAGGTAGATGGTGGTAATGGTTGCACAACAGTGTGAATGTACTCAACCCCACTGAAGAGTATACTTAAAAATGGTTAAGATGTTACATTTTGTGTTATGTAAATTTTACCATAATTTTAAAAATAATGGCATAAAAAATTTAGCCAACAGTAGAGTATACTAACTGTGGAAAGAGGTAATAGTGCTTTGAGGATTGACTCAGCAGTATAATAACTATAAAGGAGACAGAGCAGGTTGACCAGGTTTGCCCACACGTTCATTCAAAAAGCATTCATTGAGCTACTAGTCATGTAGTAGTAACTCAGCCTGTTTGAGCTGAACTCTGATTGACTCAGCAGTATAATAACTATAAAGGAGACAGAGCAGGATGACCAGGTTTGCCCACACGTTCATTCAAAAAGCATTCATTGAGCTACTAGTTATGTAGTAGTAGTTCAGCCTGTTTGAGCTGAACTCTGAAAGCCAAGCAGACATGACCGAGTGAAGGGTCGAGGAGCCTTCTAGAAGAGGCCAGTGTCGGGAGGAAACTAAAGGAGGCCAGAGTGTGGCTAGAGCTCCCCAAGGGGCAGGGGTGACCCTGAGGGTTCTGCTGGGCCCTTTAAGTTTTGCCCCAAGAGGGATAGATAGTAAGCTGTGGCACAGGTTGGAGAAGGGAAGTGAAGTGACCTTAGACTAAGCGCCTTGCGGGATGTCCGGTGTAGGAGACTGAATGTCACATCGGCATTGAATCCGAAATAGGTCAGAATTACTTTATCTAATAACTTTCAGCAGCTAGGGGGAAAGACTATTGAAGGGCTTCCTTTCCTCTCAGAAATTTTCAGTTTAAGTAGGAGAGGAAGCTCCAAAAGCAAGAGAGGGGAGGGAGCAGTGAAGACTTGTGATGAAGTTACAACTCAATGACAAATAATGGGTACATGTTTCAAAGCCTAACACTTTCTTACAGAAAACATACTTCATGACTCAACAGTGTTGTTCAGCCCTAGATTAAAGAAATTAGAAACCGTATCTTTTATTTTTTTAACACCTTTATTGGAATATAATTGCTTTACAATGTTGTATTAGTTTCTGCTGTATAACACAGTGAATCAGCTATATGTATACATACATCCCCATATCCCCTCCCTATTGTGTCTCCCTCCCACCCCTCTAGGTGGTCACAAAGCACCAAGCTGATCTCCCTGTGCTCTGCGGCTGCTTCCCACTAGCTATCTATTTTACGTTCGGTAGTGTATATATGTCCATGCCACTCTCTCACTTCGTCCCAGCTTACCCTTCCCCCTCCCCGTGTCCTCAGGTCCATTCTCTATGTCTGCGTCTTTATTCCTGTCCTAAAATCGTTCATCAGAACCTTTTTTTTTTTTTTTTAGATTCCATATATATCTGTTAGCATACGGTATTTGTTTTTCTCTTTCTGACTTTCTTCACTCTGTATGACAGACTCTAGGACCATCCACCTCACTACAAATAACTCAATTTCATTTCTTTTTATGGCTGAGTAATATTCCATTGTATATATGTGCCACATTTTCTTTATCCATTCATCTGTTGATGGGCACTTAGGTTGCTTCCATGTCCTGGCTATTGTGAATAGTGCTGCAGTGAACATTGGGGTACATACATTATTGTTTTTGAATTATGAGAAGGCTTATCTTTTATGTTATGTAGAAGGAGAGCACGTGAGAAAGATTCTACCATTTGGGCTGTAAAGCAGGACTTAGTTGAATTGAGGTTTATTCAGACCTTGTTTCAACTTGGTTAATCAGCTAATCAGGCACTCTCTGTGTCTCCAGCTTCCTTGTCAGCTCAGAGTAAGTCCTCACACACTCCATCTGTTCAGAGCGTTTATAGGTCCACAGATGGTCTAGCATCAGGGAAGAGAGGGGAGGCGTGTTGTATATAGTACATCGGTTGAGAGTTTGCTGAGGAAGATGCTCAAGTTCAAAATAAGCAGCGTGTTGAATAGCACCCAGCATAAAGGGGGCATCACTAAAATCTGCATCTGTCTGATTGACTCTGGAACTCTTAGCACCTTAGCATGCTGCTTCCTTTATAATGTAATGCTCCAGGAGAAAAAAATATATAGTTAAAGTTGTGTGTTTATATATGTACGTATGTAAGTAAAAAGGTTTGTGTAAGAAAAAAGAACAGGTAAGAAAGATGAAAAGCGATAGCTTGTGAGTTTGTGTGTTGGACATTAAGAGGGTTTTTTCCCCCTTAAATTTTCTATTTATGTATTATGTTAAGAAGTAAAGGCAAGTTGGAAGTGGAGACTTTGGAACTTTGCCTATATATTAATTTAATAAGTTTATTTTTTTGACTAAAGTATGTAAATTGCTTCTTTAAAATATTGAAATATTGTGACATCTAATTAAGAGTTCAGATAATTTCAGAATTGGAAGCATTTCACTGTACTAAATGCAAGCTAGTTTCTCAGGCATGTTCTCTGAACATTTGAATCCTTATCTATTTTAATGATTTAGATTTCAGCATCCTCTTCAGCAAATGAATGCATTTCAGTTAACGGAAAAATGTATTCCATACTGAAGCAGCTAGGAAGTGGAGGTTCAAGTAAGGTAGGTATCCTGAATATTTAAGGAATGGATAAAAATATTTTAAACTTTCCTCTCTTTGTCTTTTTACCTTTTGAGGCCTTTTTTCTTAACTTCTAGGGGCCTGTATTTCCCTTGAGCCAAAAACTCCTTCTCATCCCCTTCTCCCATCCCTTCCCCCCATCCCCTCCCCTCAACAAATGGCATATTTCTTTAGACCCACCTCTTAATTTCAGTTCCCTGTTCTTCCCTCCAATGTCCTATGATTCCATATTTCTTCTCTAAATAACATTAACATTGACTTGGGGGTGGCAAATGACAGCTTCGTATTATCACCAGAGTCTTTCTAAAAGTGAGTCAGACTGTGATGTGAATAACTGCTATGCCTAGGATGATTCAGCAAGGTATTTGATTAATGGGTTTTGTTTTGTTCTGAGTTTTTCTTTTCAGAAACAGAATTTAGCAACACATGAATTTCTAGATTTGGAATAGATCATTTCCTAAATTTATCTGGGTTCTAAATGTATATGGTTCTAATTCTCTGGCTGGAAGGGATCTCAAAAGAGTTGTCTAAACCTCCCATCTTCAATTCTTCTCATTTTGTTCACTTAAATCCACTTAAATCAGATTTTTACTTTTACCTTCATTATTCACCAAACAATTGTTATCAAAATCACTAGTGACCTCCATGTTTTTGCCAAAACTAATTGTTAGCCTTGGTTGTGGGTTACCTAGCAATTGGCACAGTTGATTTTTCTTTCCTCACTGAAGCTTTTTTTCCCACTCCGCCTCTTTCAGTGTTCCTCCTGGCCAGCGACCGTTCCTTCTCTGTCCTCCTCATATCCCTGATCTGAATGGTGCAGAGCCCCTGAGCTCAGTTCTTGGCTTTTCTTCTCTTTTCTTCTCTGTCTAAACTCGCTCACTCCCTTGGCGTTCTCATCCAGTCTCGTGGTTTCATGTACCATGTACATGCTGACAATTCCCAAATCTGTATTTCCAGCTCAGACTTCTTCTTTGAATTCCGGGCTTACGTATCCAATTTGACTGCTCAGCGTCTCTTCTTGGGTGTCTATAGATACTTAAAACTTAATATGTCCCAAGCCTAACTGCTGCTTCATAGTCTTTCCCATTTCAGTAAATGGCAGCTTCATTCTTCCAGTTGCTGGGCCAAGCAGCCTGGGGTCGTCACTGACTGCACTTTCTCTCGACATTCACCCAGCCAATCATCAGTCTTACTGGTTCTACCTCAAAGTCTGTCCACAATCTGACTGTTCCTCACCACCTCCACTATTATCCCTTCGGCCAAAGTAGCTTCATCTTTTCACCTGAACTGTTACAGTCGCCCTCTAACTAGTCTCGCTGACTCAGTCCTTGCTCTCCTGGCCTATTTTAGCATAAGAGTCGATTTTCCTCGATACCCTCACATCTTTGCTCTAGTGTCTTCTCAATCAGTGCTTCCTTGACCATGCTCTACAACCCCAACTCCTACCTTCCAGTTGCCAGCAAGCTCCGTTCCCCTCTCCTGCTTTATTTTTCTCTGTAGCTCATCTGCTAATATGCTCTGTAATTGACTTATTTGGTTTTGTTGTTTGTGTCCCCTTGCACTTGAATGTGAGTTCCATCAGCGTAGGGGTGTTTGTCTGATTTGCTCACCAATGTTTGCTCCGTTATCTAGAACAGTGGCTGGAAAAATAGCAAACACTGAAGTGTTTGTTGAATGAAAAGCCCTCCTCAGCTCTTTTGCTACTCTTAAGTTGTTAAGGATGATACATGAAACACAGCCTGTTTGGTTCATTTTAAGTTTTATTATAATTTTTTAAGCCAGCTGACAATAACTAGACTTGCTTAAGATGTCTTGTTAACTTACTATAAATAAGGTGTATACATTACCATGTTTAGCAGTTGTTCAATAATATTAATTTCTGTGTACATTTCCTTTGTTCTCTTCCTTGCCTTACATTTTAGGCATGGGAATAAAAGGATGATGGAATTGATTTTTACCAACATATTTATTTATTTAGTAGCATGTTTTCAGAAGATGTACAATAATCTTAACAGTGTTTTAAACATTTTTTCCTTGGAGGATAATGAAAATGTAAGCTTACTTAAGTCAAGGGCCAAGTGATAAAGCTATGACTGACCCATATTTTCTTAGTGCGATTGAATTATTATTTAATTATTATGACGGCGTTGACAAAATCATCACGCCTCAGGGAAAAGAGGGTAACATGCTTGATGAAACTAACATTGTTTATGCTGTCTATGCTAGAGTATAGACAGTGACCAACTTACACCCTATTAAGAGAATTTAGAAAATTCATAGGGCTAGTGGGAATGTTCAAAACACTAACCTTTCTAGTTCTTTCATTAACTTTCCATGAAACTGACAGATTCTAACTCTGACACTATAAGGCTGTTTACCTCACACAAAATGGCTTTCTGCTGTTTTAAAATTTTCTTCCTTGCTACTTTCTGCTGCTTCTTGCCCTATCACTGTTTTATGCCCCTCCTCCTCTAATTTGCTTTCTGTGCAAGTAAAACTAGTAATACTTTGTTAGAGTTTTGTATTTAAAATGCAGGTAACTCAGCTGTACCTGACAGACTCTGCTTAACAGTGCACTTGAAATGCATGAACCTCATCTACACTTTGGCTCTTTTCTCACTTCTTGCCAGCATCTGCTGGATAGTCATGGTTAATGGCTTTTAAATAAATGCTGTTTTACTTCAGTGGGTGCAAGGAGATAAATGAATGTAATTTTTCTTGCTTACACTAGCATTTTGTATCTGAATTCTTGCATTTTAGAAGCCCCATCCCTGTTGCACGTTTGCTGAAAGTTAGACACATTAGCAGTGTTTTCGAAATGTACTATCTGCCTTATCAATATTGCTTAGAAGTTGACTGTCATTATAGCCAGAGCAATTTGACCTGGACCTCAATATGCTGACAGGAACATCTTGTTCCTGTCAACTTGATTTTGAAAATTGGACCTGATCTACTTTTTACAGCCGAGTATACTGATAGCTTACAATTAGTACCTATTTTAAAATATTCTCGACCACATGAATGAAATTGTCAACTCCAGGCACAGTGGAATAAACACCATCTGTGCCATGAATTATCTTTATTACAGCCCTCAGTCTTCCTTAGCATTTTTTAATGTCTTTTTCTGGTTGCAACATCTAACAGAGTGTTATGAATGTATATGAAATTTAAATTACCTTTCTTATACGTAGATAGGGCAACTACCTATGCCCATTGTCATAGGTAGTTGAGAATGTACTGTTACTTTCCTAACATGCTTTTTTTCCTTCTATACTCAAAATAAACCCAGACATTTTAAATTATTCACATCAATAATCCTTAATCTAAGATTTTATCTATTAATGTAGAAATATTGTGGCAGTATGTAAATAGTGTATTCTAACCTTTTTCATTTGTTCTACTCTATAGGTATTTCAGGTGTTGAATGGAAAGAAACAGATACATGCTATAAAGTATGTGAACTTAGAAGAAGCAGATAGCCAAACAATTGATAGTTACCGGAATGAAATTGCTTATCTGAATAAACTACAACAACACAGTGATAAAATCATCCGACTTTATGATTAGTAAGAATTTTTTTTTTAACTTAAAAAGGAGACTTTTTTTTCTCTAATTCTTAAGATAAATACTTTGTAAATCTTAGTAGTATAACCTAACCATTTATTGTTTTGTTGTTTTTGTTTGTTTTTAATGGCAGTGAAATCACAGATCAGTACATCTACATGGTAATGGAATGTGGAAATATTGATCTTAATACTTGGCTTAAAAAGAAAAAATCCATCAATCCATGGGAACGCAAGAGTTACTGGAAAAATATGTTGGAGGCAGTTCACACGATTCATCAACATGGTATTTTAAAATCTCTTCGTATGTAAAATTAAAATATTCATTAGTAGTGCTATCTTAGAGAAATACACCTATAATTTTAAGGTATTGGTTATTGGCACCTTTAGGCTAGATAAACTAAATATTTGGAAGTTTAATAAAGATGAAGGGACAAAACCATTTCTTTAAAATGCTCTTAACAGGGACTTCCCTTGGGGCGCAGTGGTTGAGAATCGCCTGCCAATGCAGGGGACATGGGTTCCATCCCTGGTCCGGGAAGATCCCACATGCTACGGAACAACTGAGCCCGTGTGCCACAACTACTGAGTCCACACGCCGCAACTACTAAAACCCGTGCGCTCTAGGGCCCGTGCTCCGCAACAAGAGAAGCCACCGCAATGAGAAGCCCGCGCACCTCAACAAAGAGTAGCCCCCTCTCGCGGCAACTAGAGAAAGCCCGCGCGTAGCAACGAAGACCCAACACAGCCAAAAATAAATTAATTAATTAAAAAAAAATGCTGTTAACGAGAGGATATAGCGCATGAACTCAAATCCCCACATCCATAGAGCATGCATAATACGAAATGTATCTTTGTCAGTATTAACATAGTCCATAATCCTGGGTCTCCAAATACTTGGATTATAGCAGATATGAGACTGGGGTTCAGGTATCCTAAAAATCTGAGATTTTTTTTCACTTATTCTCCTAGTTGTTTTGTATTGTGTACCTTGTATGGGAGTTGGTTTTACTTTTTTTTTTTTTAACTGTTAGCCCTACATTCTGGGTTGGCTTTCACCTTACTTGGCCTTGGTTCTTTTTATGGCTTCTTTGCCTTTACCTTTTCCTTATTTTAAATAACTGATAATGTAGGTAATTGTAAATCGTCTCCTTGTGTCTCCCGTCCCATAAGTTAAAAGATAATTCACCAGTGATGAAGATCAGGCTGTAGGGAAGGATATGTCAGGAGCATTAGGGTCCTACCACCTGGCAGTGTAATTTACAGTGCTCTCTCGTGGGCAGTGAATCACAGTGGTTGTTAAGAGCATAAACTCTGAAGCCAGACTGCCTGGGTTCAACTCATGACACTGTTACTTAGGCTGTGTGACCTTGAACAGATTGCTTAAACTCTGCCTTAGTTTCCTCAGCTAAAAGTGGGGATAATAATAGTACTTAATCTCAGCATTGGTATGAGGGTTCAATGATTCAATACAAGCGACAAACTTCAAATAGTGCCTGGCACGTAGCAAGTGCTGTATGTTTGTAGTGTACATTAAAAGTGAATATTTAATTTGATTGACTAATTAAAGGAATCAACTCAGCAAATTGTGAAATTTTTTTGTACTTAGGATGTTTATCATGGTCTAATATTATAATGGATTTTTATTTTGAAGGTATTGTTCACAGTGATCTGAAACCTGCTAACTTTCTGATAGTTGATGGAATGCTAAAGCTAATTGATTTTGGAATTGCAAACCAAATGCAACCAGATACAACAAGTATTGTTAAAGACTCTCAGGTAATGAATGGCTGGTTACCACACAGTAGAGTTCAATTCCTTTTCACCTTTGAAGTATTATTTTGCTAATGAGGATTTTATTTTTCCCTACTTCATTTTTCAAAGGATTTGAAGCCTTTTTACAAGAACAGATATTATAACTATAAAAAACAAATTAATCACATGATTAAGACAATTTTAGTATAGAAAGTCAAGATCCGGTAGAAATATATCCAGCAATTTTGAATGATTTTCCTATAGCTGAGGTAGAGAAGCAGTAATATCTGCCTTGGAAATCATCTTGGTCATTATCTAAAATTCACCTGAAACTTTGTCTCAGTTTCCTGGTAGCAACCAAAGAGAGAATTGCAGTTTCATGTTTTTCATTGTCCATAAGGTAAAATTATTTCATTCTTCCAGAGAAGTAAAGCTTTCCCTATCACTTACATTTGAAAAAAAATTCTTAATTGGGCCTTCCTATTGGAAACACCATAATAAATATACTCAGCTGCATTTTTATAATAGGATATGCAATAGCAATCTTAATAAATGTGTCCCCCTAAAAACTGAGGTGATGACAACCAAAGAATGACTAAAAATAATCCTGCTTGGAGCCAAGACAGTGTGTTTCATGTATACAGATTGCTGACGTGGATCTTCCTTAATCCTAGCAGTAAAACTGGATTCTTTCAGGAGTAGATGGGCAGCATGCCCTTCAAACAATTCTATTTGACAATCACTTCTTTCTAGATCAAAAATATGGCTGAACATTTAGTTGTAAATCAGCTTGACGATATCGTCTATGGTAAGGCTCTAAAGTATAGGTATTCTGTGTTTGAAAGCAGAATCATTTTAGAATAAAATGAATGCAGTGTAAGGTTGGCATACTCCTGCTGTGGAAAATCTTGCATAATGCAGACACCCATCTCATCTCTATTTGGACGTGGGCCCAGGGAGACAAAGCTAGATTTTTGGTTGTTGTTTGGTTTATTTAAAAATGTGTTCTGGGGCTTCCCTGGTGGCGCAGTGGTTGAGAGTCCGGCTGCCGATGCAGGGGACGCGGGTTCGTGCCCCGGTCCGGGAAGATCCCACATGCCGAGGAGTGGCTGGGCCCGTGAGCCATGGCCGCCGAGCCTGCGCGTCCGGAGCCTGTGCTCCGCAACAGGAGAGGCCACAACAGTGAGAGGCCCGCTTACGGCAAAAATAAATAAATAAATAAAAATTAAAAAAATAAAAAAGTGTTCTGGGTCTATTCCAGCACAGAAATGAGCGATTGATCAGTTCCTTCAAAGTTTATGGCCATTAATATAATTTTATCCTGGAAAGATTTATGGTTGCTGCCCACCATAAGGAATAGCTCAGCATTCTGTAAGGAGTCAATTATTTTTATTATGAATCTAATTTATTTTGCTGGAATTGTGAAGAAATTTATGCCTTAATATTTTTCTCAGTTATTAGAGTTTCTCAAATATATTAACTGAAACCTGTAACTCTCCAAGTTGCCAAAAATCTGGCATTTGTGTTTAAAAAAATGTAAAGCAGAATGAAGTATTTTCATTGATTTCTGTGTTTTCTGTGATTTGGCAAGTAGGTTGGTACAGTTAATTATATGCCACCAGAAGCAATCAAAGATATGTCTTCCTCAAGAGAAAATGGGAAATCCAAATCGAAGGTACCGTAAGGTTATTTACATACCATTTCTCTGGCACAAATAGGGAATGGGCTAGTCTCTGAATGAACTTAACAGATAACTGAAAAGTTATTTCTTTAAGTTCTAAAACTTTTTAGGCCATTACAGAGACCTTGCTTTATTAAGCAAACTGTCATGGGATTCAGTTTCACTTTTCTTTATTGATTTGAGATTGTTCTTTTAATATTGCGCTTTTAATATGGTGATGCCTCACAATGTGCTCCTGTAAGAAATGCACACAGGATGTTTTCTGAGTTTTAAAAATAAAGAAAAAAAATAAGACTAAATTAGCTCTGATACGGGCACCTTAAATTAAATAACAGTGAACTGATAACCTTTGTTTCCTTTCTGATTCTTAAATTTTATTTACCATTTCTTCATTTGTTAATTTTCTGTTTCCAAGAACAACTCTAGTAGGTAATATTCCCAGGTACCTTCCCACTTTTCTTATTTCACCACCTCTGTGAGCTTTTGTGTTAGCCTCGTTGGTGCCCCTTGCTGGGTCCATTCTGCCTGCCATGGTGCCTCTGGCTCCCAAGCTAATCCTTCTTTCTCTATACCAGTGTCTTCAAATGGATGCAAGCACACACCACTGTGCAGTACCTGCGTTCAAGTCATAGATCTGCCTCTTTATCAACTGTCTTTGTGACTTAACTTGCCTAGTTTCTTCATCTGCAAGTTAGGCTTGCACACAGTACCTATTTTAAAAGTAATTGAGGATTAAATGAGAAAGAATACAGAGCACTTAGTACATTGTCCAGCTTGAAACAATTGCTTAATAAATGTGCTTTCATTTACTAAATTATGTTTTCCTTCCTAGGAAATTGTGGCTTCTAAATATCTTTTCAAATAGCTGGCATAAAATTATGCCAAATAGTCTCTCTTATAAAAATCCTTTTTATACCTCTTTAGCTTCTCCTTTTCTTTTAATACTTAGATTTGTCTTTCTCTTTTTCTTGATTAGGCTTGCCAGGGTTTTGTTAATTTTAAAGAACCAGGTCTTCATTTCATTTATTAATTCTATTTTCATTTGTCTTCTAATTAGTTTCTGCTTTTATCTTTGTTATTTATATTCCCTTTAGGTTTCTCCCCCAGCTTCTGCATTTAAATAATTGCTAATTTAATTTTAGTATTCTTCCTTATAATTAAAACATTAAAACTGAATTTTACTTTGAGTTTTACTTTAGCTGCTACTTCTAGGTTTTATGGTAGTGTTTCTTATTTTCATTAATTTCCAAAATTTCTAATTTTAGTTTTAAAATTGTTTCATTCTTTGTTACTTTAAAATAAAATTTACTTTGAACTGCATGTAGTGTTCAGATTCTTTTCAGTTTTCAACTCAGTACTTAAATAGGTCGTATTGGTCAATCTCAACTAGTGATTCTGAATAGAAGATAAATTTTTATCCCAACATGGGAGGTAATCCTTGTTATGGAAGAGCTCAAAGCCCCTCCCAGTCTCCCTCTGTTCTCGAATTGCTTTCCGGTGAACAGGCTTGGCCATCTGGGGCTCCTGTTCTGAGGTCTGTTGGGCCCATTCATTACTCCTCTCTCCTCTCTGCTTCAAATGCCTCTACCACGCATGACCTGTGGCTGTGGGTAGTTTGTCTCCATTCACGTTCCGCTTTTATTGTAAATATTTTCCATATGTTTACGGTTTTGCTACCAGGCTGCTCTGTCTGTCTTATCTGGGGCTTTGGAGAGTTTGAAAACCACACGGCCACAGCCATTTTTCCAGAATCTGAAATTCTTTTTAATTCATGATTTAGTATTTAGAAATGGACTTATATTTCCAAGTGGTTAAATTGGAGGAAGAGGAGGTTATTTTTTTATTAATTTTCAGTTTTCTTTGTGTTCAGATAATGGGATCTATTCTGTCATGTTTTGAAAGGCATGTTTAAATCTGCCCTCCTTCAAAGAATTTAATACAATTTTTGCTTTATATAGTTCTATTAAATGTGGTTTCAGTGCATAGAAGTTCATAACTGTCATCTCTTCTTGGTTGATTGTACCTTTTATCACTGTAAAATGGCTTTCTCTTCTGTTAGAAGCATTTTGCCATGTTCTCTTTTTCTAATATTAATATTGCTGTCTCTGCTTTCGTTTCCTTTTTTTTTTTCTTTCTTGCATTTGGTTATAGATGTCCATTTCTTTTTTCCTTGTACCTTTCTGTGTCATTTGGTTTAGATTAATCCTTTGTGTAGAGCATGTGGTTACATTTTGTTTTAATGCATATTGAGTATCTTTTAAAAGAGGAATTTAGCCATTCTCATTTATTATGCTCACTTCTGTGTTTGGTCTTAATCATGTTCTTTTAAAAGTCAAAAGCATAATTATGTTATAATATCACATTATTTCTAATGAGATTATTTAATACAAAGAACATTTAATAATAAGTAATATTTATTGAGTACTTACTATACCAGAAACTATTCTCTATGCTTACCCATATCTCATGGTTACATCATTTAAGGCCCATGACAACGTACCTTTGTTATTTCTGTTTTAGAGATGAGGAAACAGAGACATGTAGAATTACTAACTAGTGATAAGACCAGGATTCAAGCCCAGCCCAGCCCAGTCTGGCTCTATAGTTTGTGTTCTTAAGTTTAGGATAGCTCAACTTAAACAACCTTTTTAAAATCTATACATACTTATGAATTTATATAAAAACTTATTTTAATTCAGTAATTTTGGGGAAAACATGTAAATTTAAAATGTGCACTTAGGGTTTTTAGTTTTGTGTTTTCACAGGCTGACAAGAATGTCATATTTTGTTTCAGTTGAAATATTTTGATTATGAGTTTGTTGAAAGATTTAAACTGAAGTTCATTTCTTTTGATAAAATAACCAAGTGTAATCAAAACGAGAAGAGGATGTTTTGTCACGAACATAGTCTAATAGTTGGACATTTATTGAGATTTAGTTATGATTTTAAATATTAGGGTGTGTGTGTGTGTGTGTATAATATTTTAATTTTATGTTAAAATAACAGTAACTTCTTCTTTTTTTTTTTTTTTTTAACTTAGATAAGCCCCAAAAGTGATGTTTGGTCCTTAGGTTGCATTTTGTACTATATGACTTACGGGAAAACACCATTTCAGCATATCATTAATCAGATTTCTAAATTACATGCCATAATTGACCCTAATCATGAAATTGAATTTCCTGATATTCCAGAGAAAGATCTTCAAGATGTGTTAAAGGTAACATTAATAGTATATACATATAGAAGAGCTATATTGCATGTAGTACTTAATTGTTTACTTAAAGAAATAGCTGAGGGAGTTCTCTGGCTGTCCAGTGGTTAGGACTCAGCACTTTCACTGCCATGGCCCGGGTTCAATCCCTGGTCAGGGAACTAAGATCCCACAAGCCGCATGGCACACCCAGAAAAGAAAAAAGAAAGAAAAAGAAATAGTTGAAATGATTGGAATTATGTAACTGGCTTAGATATAACTGAGAGGTCTATTGAGAGGAATTGCTTACTGAGTTAGTTTTTAAAGATGTGTTAAGCTCACTTTGAAGGTTTTTAAAACTTATGAATACTTGGAGATTTTGCAAAAATGACGTGTAAAATAATTTTGTCATTTCTAAGTAGGCTCTCTAGAAAGCAACTTCTGTAATATGATGCAGTCTGGGAAAATACTGTATCAATATTGCATAAGAAAACTTGCTTCATTTTTTTAAAAAATTTATCTTTATTTTTATAGTGTTGTTTAATAAGGGACCCTAAACAGAGGATCTCCATTCCTGAGCTCCTGGCACATCCATATGTTCAGATTCAAACTCATCCAGGTACTTCTTTAAAAATAAGTTTATTACCAGATTGCTAATATAAACAGCCTTCTGGCTGCTCTCCTCCTGCCTGCCTCCTTCCTTAAGGATATTCCTTAATGCTAAATACTAAAATAAATGAGATCACCTTTCTCTACCTGCTGGCATTCATTTTTACCTATCCTAGGTAAGGGGCTATGATCAGTGATAAGTTACAAGAATGCCAGTTATTGTGCTTTTAAACAGAATACATATTTATGTATGAACTTATATTTTTCTTATTTGATGCCAGTGTGCTATTGATTATATATATCATTTTACAGGGAACCAGATGGCTAAGGGAACCACTGAAGAAATGAAATATGTTCTGGGCCAACTTGTTGGCCTGAATTCTCCTAACTCCATTTTGAAAACTGCTAAAGTATGTCTATTCTTTGTCTACACTAATTTTAATCGTTTTGTATAATTTAGTGAGTTAGACACTTAAACAGGTAATGCAAAGGAAAGTTGGCCCAATCATCAGATCAGCTATGAAGTGTGTTTCTGTATTTAGATACTTAACATGTACTTTTTGACAAATATAGATTTATTTGATTTATATTCTTACTGTGCAGACAGCACAATTGAAAATGGATTGTCATATAGGGTGCATTGAAAAGACTGCTGTTGGGTCTCAACTGGAATAAATTCAATAAGGAATCTTAACACCATTTTTAACACAGCTTTTGAATTCATTTTTTTCTAGCCAACTTTATTTTTAAACCGTCGTAGAGAAATCACAGTACTTGTCACATGTAATGACTTCTGTGAGGCTGTATATAGCAGTCAGTACATTTCTCAAAGCAAATGTCTCAAATCTTTTAGTCTCCCAATGCCTCTTTATATCTATACCATAATTTTTTGGATCTCACTGACATCAAACACCTAGTCATTTCCAGAACACTAGGTATGCTTATTGACTTTAGTTACTAGTTATATATATCAGTTATAACATTATTGTAAAATTATGAGAGCTTAAACTAAAATCACTGTTAGCTCTATGGATAGGGATAACACCAATCTAAGATGTTAAGAACTTGGATACAGTTTTGGAGGAATTTACTATATATTCACCATTATATTTGTATCCATATGATATAAGGTAAATTTTTTCTTAAATTTTCTCAAGTTCTGATAGCTAAATCAATGGCTTTAGGAATTGAAATTGGACAAAATTTGTTTTGTAATTTTCCTCTATGTTTCATATCTCTATGTTGTAAATTTCTACCAGTGTATTGTTTAAAGCCTTTTATAAATAAAACTGAGGTGGGTTACCTTTATCACTAAGGTTATGTGTTCCTTGATGGCAAAGATATCTTTCATCTTCATAAATTAGATGTTGGCTTAGCCTTAAGTCCTTTACTAAATATGTAGATTTTAATGTAGCTAATTATACTTATTTGTATAGCAGTTGTATTTTTTTTTAAATGTCTTCCATTCTTTAGTTTAAATATCAGCTGAAAGTATATTTCCTGATGAGTGTATTTTACAGTATAGGAATTTATCTAAGACTGGCTTTATTTAAGAAAAAGTAAGGTATCTTGTAATAACCTATAATGAAAAAGCATATGAAAAACAATATATAGAGAGAGGGATAGATAGATACAGATACAGATATAGATATAATCTGAATCACTTTGCTGTACACCAGATACTAACACAATATTATAAATCAGCTGTACTTCAATTTTTAAGAAAAGAGTTTTGCTATGCAATATTGTACATCAACTATACTTCAATAAAAATAAACAATTTAAAAAGAGGTTTGTTGAAACAGAAAAGAAAAAGAAAAAGTAAGGGAGATTAAGAAGGCTTTGAGGATGCATATATATGCTTATAAATAGCTATGTTACATTTTTCTTACAGAAAGATTGATCTGCATTGCATGATCGCTGATTCTTAGGCCAAGCTGGCTGTTTAAAAATTTTTCATTATCTCCAATAGTGTACAAAATAATTTCCTAATTATAAGAACAAGGGAGAAATTTGTTACATATTAGAAGATGTGGAGTTAAACCTTTGTTAATCTGATATGGTAATACATTGAATTTTAAAAGTTATAAATCGGATGTGTGTTTTTAATTTCAGACTTTATATGAGCACTATAGTGGTGGTGAGAGTCATGATTCCTGTTCATCATCCAAGACTTTGGAAAAAAAATGGGGAAAAAAATGATTTGCAGCTACACATAAACTGTCAGGTATCACCTGTAAAATATATTGGACTGTTATACTCTTGATTCTATGTGGAAATCTACTCCTGAAGACAACTTCACTCTGAAATGTCATTGGCAGAAAAATTCAGTGGATTATCCTCAAAAGAAAACTGTAAAAAACCACTAATGACACTGTATGTATTAAATTGTAGAATTGTTTTCTCTTTTGTGCTTCCCTGTAAATCTAATCTATTTGATATCATTTTCACACTTGGAATAGTGGGTGAAAAGTGGAAATATTTTCTGAAGGACTATGTAAATAGGCTTTGTATAGTATAAAATGACACTAAAATGTCAAAGTTGTAGAACTGTTTTCTTCAAGCAAATACATTGTTGGTGAGGCAACAGAATTCTTAATAAAAATGGATTAAGGGGAAACATGAGAGTAGACCTTAGTAAATTAACTTTGGGGGAAAAAAAATTCCAGAGTGTTCAAATTCTAAAATAGATTTCCAGTTGTTTTATGGCACTGATAATACTCCAGCATTTTAGGGCTTCACTTGGCTTTCTTAATTCTCCGTTTCATTCTTCATAGTATCTATTGTTTTGGGTGTTCAGAGTATCATGCTGGATTCTAAGATGTAGTCTGTATAGGGCATGACCTCAATTGTACGACTTGCTTGGTAATGAGTAATTACAAATGTGGTCCCAGAATTTCTGAGTCTGAATTGAACAGATTATTTAAGGATATTACCATGTAGTATTCTTTTCCCCAAATTTTTCTTTAGCTTTTAAAACAGTTTTAGAGTCTCAGCAAAATTGAGGGGAAGGTGCAGAGATTTCCCATTTAACCCCTGCCCCACACATGCACAGCCTCCCCCATTACCAACATCCCCACCAGAGTGGTACTTTTGTTACATTTAAGGAACCTACATTGACGCACTGTAATAATCACCCGAAGTCTATAGTATACATATACCTAGTTCACTCTTGGTGGTGCATGTTCTAGGGATTTGGACAAATGTATAATAGCATGTATCTATCATTATACTATTGTAAAAATATTTTCAGTGCCTGAAAATTCACTGTGCTCCACCTATTCATCCCTCCCCTACCCCCAACCCCTGGGAACCACTGATCTTTTTACTGTTTCCATAGTTTTGCCCTGTCTAGAATGTCATATAGCTGGAATTGTACAGTACGTAGCCTTTCAGATTAGCTTCTTTCACTTAGCAATGTGCACTTAGTAACATGCACCTCCATGTCTTTTCATAGCTTGAGAGCTCATTTCTTTTTAGTGCCTAGTAGTATTCCATTGTCTGGATGGACCACAGTTTATCCATTCACCTCCTGAAGGACATCTTGGTTGCTTCCAGTTTTTGGCAATTATGAATAAAGCTGCTGTAAACATCTGTGTGCAGGGCTTTGTGTGGTGTTCAGCTTCAGAGGAGTTGACTACCATGGAGCATGACTGATGGATTATATGGTAAGAGTATGTGTAGTTCTGTAAGAAAGTGCCAAATGGTCTTGCACAGTGGCTGCGCCATTGTGCATTGTCTCCCGCAGTGAGTGAGCGTTCCTGTTGCTCCACATCCTCGCCAGCACTTGGTGTTGTCAGTGTTCCAGATCTGGGTCACTCTAGTAGATGTGTTGTGGTATCTCATTGTTTTTTTTTTGTTGTTGTTTTTTTTGCAGTACGTGGGCTTCTCACTGTTGTGGCCTCCTCCGTTGCAGAGCACAGGCTCCGGAGGTGAAGGCTCAGCGGCCATGGCTTACGGGCCCAGCCGCTCCGCGGCATGTGGGATCTTCCCGGACCAGGGCACGAACCCGTGTCCCCTGCATCGGCAGGCGGACTCTCAACCACTGCGCCACCAGGGAAGCCCCCTCATTGTTGTTTTAATTTGCATTTCCCTGGTGACAGCTGATGTGTGGAGCATTGTTTCATATACTTACATGCCATCCACCTGATACCTTCTTAAGTGAGATCTTTGCTTCTTTGTCAAAGATCTGTTAACTATATTTATGGGGTTCTATTTCTGGGCCGTCCATTCTGTTCCATTGATCAATTTAGCTTTTCCTTCACCAATACCACGCTGTCTTGATTACTGTCACTTTACAGTAAGTCTTGAAGTCAGGTGGTGTCAATCCTCCAACTTTGTTCTTCTCCTTCAGTAGTGTGTTGGCTGTTCTGGGGGGTTTTGCCATTTCACATAGAGTTAAAATCTGTTTGTCAGTATCCCCAAGTAACTTGCTGGAATTTTGATTGGGATTATATTGAATCCCAATTGTAGATCAAATTGGGAAGAACTGACATCTTGACAGTATGGAGTCTTCCTGTCCAAGAACATGGACTATTTCTCCATTTATTTAGTTCTTCCTTGATTTCATTCTTCAGAGTTTTGTAGTTTTCCCTATATAGACCTTGTACATACATTGTTAGATTTGTACATGAATATTTCATTTTGGGGGCTGCTAATGTAAATGGCATTGTGTTTTTCATTTCAAATTCCACTTCTTCTTTGCTGTTATATAGGAAAATGATTGACGTTTATATATTAACCTTGTATCCTGCAGTGTTGCTATAGTTGCTTATTTGTTCCAGGAGTGGTTTTATGGATTCTTTTGGATTTTCTACATACATGATAACGTCATCTGCAAACAGGACGGTTTTATTTCTTCCTTCCCAATCTGTATACCTTTTATTTCTTCTTATTGCAGTAGGTAATACTTCCAGTATGATGTTGGAAGGAGTGACGCCAAGTCTTTGCCTTGTTTTTGGTCTTAGTGGGAAAACCTCAAGTTTTTATTAAGTATGATGTTTGCTGTATGTTTTTTATAGATATTCTTTATCAAATTAAGAAAGTTCTCTGTTTCTAGCTTGCTGAAAGTTTTTATCGTGAATGGGTGTTGGATTTTGTCAAATGCTTTTTCCGCATCGATCAATAATGGTCATGTGATTTTTCTTTTCTTAGCCTGTTGATGTGATGGATTATTGTGTGTTATTATAACTGACACCATCTTGGGCCCTTCTAGTTTCTCCTGTCCTTCTGCTGACCCTGCGCAGGACTGTACTCTGTCTTGTTTCCAAGCACCTACCCCCATACCCTAAGTTAACTATAAAATTGTCCCAGTGGCCCCTCAGCGTGCCGCTGTGAATGCTTCCGGGTCATTATCTGTCCAATCCCAATCCCATCCTATGATTAAATTACCATAAAATAAACTGATCCGCTGATTGTAAGGATCAGTTTGTCCGTCTCAAGATGCCTTTCCAGCTCAGTGGGCACTTTTCATTTCTTCCGTCCTCTAGCAATTACATTAATTGATTTTTGAATGTTGAACCAGTCTTGCATATCTGGGATAAATCCCACTTGGTTGTGGTTTATCATTTTTTTATACATTCTCTCTTAAAATTATCCCTTGAAAGTGACACCCTTTACTTCCACTCACAATTCATTGGCTAAAGAATTTACATGGTTAAATGTAATAACCGTGTGTTCAAAAGAAAAAGAAAAAAAGAGCTAGAAATATATGATGAACAGCACCGATTAAAATTTATCAGAAGATATAGCAATACTCTTTTATTTTGCTTCAATCAGGGGTTCCTACCCTGTAGTTCAGGGCCTCCCAGGACTACTGGGTATTGAGTGGCACAAAGAGAATAGAAGTATTCTATTTTCTTACGTCACTTTGGAGGGGTTTTATTTTATGCTGCTTTCCCGAAGTAGTTACAAACAACTTGGGGATGCTCTCCATGAATCTTCTCCTTTCTCTTCCTTCTTTTCTTCCTTCCTTCCTTCCTCTCTCCTCTACTTCTCCACTTTTACCTTTGGAGAAAGTGTATTGTACCGAAGAGGAAAATGTATGAGTAATTACACTACTTAGTTGCTTAATAGTTAAAGTAAGAAATAACCTTTATTGGGTTACAATGTTTGTAGAGCTATAATAATGTAAAAATTATGTATAGAATACATATAATATATACATAATCTGTATGCTATGTTATTAGAAATATACAAAATGAGTGCATTTGAGAGAATAAGGTCAGAAAGGCCCCTATAGGCACAGATAGGGTAAGGAGGAGGTGATTGTGGATGGCCGTTCACATTCTGACACAGTTGGCACTCAATCAAGCAAGTGAAGCGCAGCGCCCAGCCCACACTCTGTTACAAAGTCTCCTTGGCACTGGAGCAAGTGAAGCAGAGGGCCCAGCCCACACTCTGTTACAAAGTCTCCACTTAGTTTAAGGCTACTATATGTTATGTCCTTATAGGATATCTAATATGTCGGAGGTACAATATGCTTTTTTCAAAGCATGTGCCAGTGAAGAAAAATGATAGCTAGTCACAGAGCAATGGTGGGCTAGCTAACTGTAGCCGGGAGAAAAGTCTAGTGGAGTCTGTGGTGATGGTGGGGCTGGGTGGGGGGTATTGAAAGCAGGGAGAGGAGTGAGATTCTTTGGAGAAGGGTTAGGAGCCATATCTGGGGAGGCTCGAGCATGCTGCCTCTCTTCTCTTCCGTGGGACCGATCATCCCAAATAAACCTGGGACGTTGCCTCCTCCAGTTCATTTCTTTTGATAAATGGAAAGCAGTCATAGATGGAGGCTTTTCCGTGTGCATCTGTCATTTAGTGGGTTGGTTTTTCTTTTTAATTTTTATTTTATAGTGGAGTCTAGTTGATTTGCAATGCTGTGTTAGTTTCAGGTGTACAGCACAGTGATTCAGTTATACATATACATGCATCTATTCTTTTTCAGATTCCTTTCCCACATAGGTTATTATAGAGTATTGAGTAGAGTTCCCTGTGCTCTACAGTACGTCCTTGTGGACTATCTAGTTTATTCATTTAGTGTGTTTCTTTGTTTTGTTTTGTTTTTTTGCGGTATGCGGGCCTCTCACTGTTGTGGCCTCTCCCGTTACGGAGCACAGGCTCCGGACACACAGGCTCAGCGGCCATGGCTCACGGGCCCAGCCGCTCCACAGCATGTGGGATCTTCCCGGACCGGGGCACGAACCCCTGTCCCCTGCATCGGCAGGTGGACTCTCAACCACTGCGCCACCAGGGAAGCCCCATTTAGTGTGTTTTTTAATGTTATTATAAAAGGAAAAAGGTCTCCTCTTTTTTTTGGGGGGGGGGGCGTACCACAGTTTGTGGGATCTTAGTTCCCCGACCAGGGATTGAACCCAGACCCTCAGCACTGAGGGCGTGGAGTCCTAACCACTGGACCGCCAGGGAATTCCTTTTTTTTTTTTTTTCCTTGAAAATAGTCTCATCTTAATCTAGTTGAAAAGTAAGTAGAAAGAAGCATAAGTTACACCTAATCCCATCACCCTGAGTTAGTTACTAATAACATTTGGCATATTTGCACAATTGAGATAATATGTTAATAACTTTATACTCCTGTTTTTTCACCTACCTTTCTCATAGGCATTTTCCTAAGTCATTTAAACCTTTCATAAATATAATTTTGATTCCTATGAAATGTCCTATCACGTGAATATACATAGTTCCTTATTTTTTATTTTGTGTAAAATAATTCAGAATAAACCTTAACAAAGCTGTTTTGTTTTTAAAGAATGGAAGTTAATGTTTGTCCAAAAACATAACTAACAATATAAATCCACAAATAAATAAACATCATGACACCATCTTTGTTCAAATGTCAGTTTGCTAATGAGACCCTCCTTAAACAGCATATTTAAAATCATAATCCCCCTGTTCCCTGTACTCCATAATCCCCTTACTTTCTTTATTACTTATAATAGTATTTATCCTTCTAACATTCTCTATAATTGATTTTTTACTGTTCATCTCCCTCCATTGTAATACCAGTCCCAGAATGCAAACCTTTGTATTGGTTTTGTTCACTCCTGTATCCCCAGCACTGAATACAGTGTCTGGCCTGTAGTTGCCACTTGATACATCCTGGTTGGAAACATGAATAAAAGCTTTTCTTCCTGGAAAGGGAGAATTATAAGACATTTCTTAGGGAGGATATACAATAGGAGCCGTTTTAGCAAACCGTGGCTAGCCCAGCAGACGGCTGTAATAACCCCTAGAGCGCTAGACAAGATGAGATGTCCTTGATGGCGATCACCTGTTCAGCGTGACCTGGTTTGCGACACTGGTATTCGAGGAGCAAAGGATGCTCACAGGGGCAGACCCTTCTTCCAGGCTGATAGGATTGCACACAGAATCAGGATCTGCCTTTCCACAGAGGCGTTACAGGACATGGTCCCAGATGCAGTATTTCTGTGTTCAAATAAATGAAGTACACTGAAGTCTCTGCCCCTGGGTGCTTATTTCTGTGTTTCTCCTCTTCCTAAGATATGAAGGGAATTTTTTTTTTTCTTTTTCTGTAGCCCAGATGTCCTGGCATTGACTTTCTAGTCCGCGCTGACGCCACAGGAGAGCAAACGCTTGGAAGTTTGACAGGAACAAGGGGCAAGCAGTGAGCCTGTGTGTGCCCACAGCTCTGGGAAGCAGGTGAGGGCGGGGGCCATCGTTCCCCGACTCTGAGGGGCTCCCTGGCTCTCTCTCGCATGCAGACTCCCCAGAACTGACTGCTTGTCACCCCCAGATGCTCTCCCCACCCCAGGCTGAGGCTCGCTCTGCTCCACGCGCTTGGCTGGCTGGAGAGGGCCCCCTTGTGGTAGGAGCGGGGATGCCGCTCACCCCAGAAATTTGGAAGCCAGGCTTAGTGCGTCAAAGTTCACAGCCCCCAGGCCGGTGTGGCATAGCAGCGACAGCAGTTGTGGTTCTGGTTCTGGGCAAGAATTTCTGGTTTGGGTGTGAGTCTGCACAAATGACTCACTTGAAACAATGCTGTAGGGCTCAGCCAGGGACTGGCTTGCTAAGTGGGTCAGGTCAGGTTGAAAGACATTGGCAATCACAGGTTACCCAATCTGTCTGGGTCACTGCCCAGACCACTTTCCTTGCATTCTTGCAAATTTTTGTGTTTATTTTGTCCTCATCAGCTGGTGCTGCTTAATCTTCTATGACTGGGGGCAACGGAACAAGCAGGAAGGGATCAATTCAAGCAGCCACTGCTTATAACAAAGACTGATTTTGTATCTTCTGATAATCAGGACAGCTCTACATCCAACATTCTCCTTTTTTGTTGTTTTTCCTTGCCATTTCAGTCCACAGATTGAAAGTCTAAACAGTTTTGTCTCCCTTTTTCCCTGCTTTTCCCATACCTATCCCAACCACGTGCCGGTTTCTTTCCTGATTCCCTCCTATTTTTTCACTCCTCACTTTGTAAGCTGAGTGATTCTGACATTCGTGAACCTCCAGGAGCCGGGGAATTGCTTCCTCCCTGATTTCATCTTCTTAGAATGGTATCATTCGGGCCATTCTGTGTCACTCTGTAGATGAAGAAACTGAGCCCTGAAAGTTAACAACTTGCCCAGTGATGCACTGCTGTTTATTTTCACAGTGGAAACTAGAATCCAGATCTTCTGACTCGACCATCCTAGGCCTCTTATTTTTTCTTTAAATCTCTACGGCTTTAAAAAATAATAACTACTAATTTTTAAGAGTCTATATTGTATGAATCTTTATTTTATCTAGTGGAGAATAATTAATACCTAACTTGATCCCAAATTTTCAGAAGTGAGACCTAATTCTAAAAAATGTTTAATAACTGAGATGAACTGAAATGATGATGTAAAAGCAATTGTCACACTGACTAGCATAGGCTTGGCCTTTAATGCCGGTCTGTTCTTCTGAACTTTGAAGTATAATTCAGATCCTCACCTGAAAGTTTCTCCATATCCTTTGTTTGCATCATTAAGGGCACTGGCTTTGAAGTTATTCAGATCTGAATTTGAACCCCAGCTGTGTCATGTACTGTGTAATTTTCCCCTAGCTGTTTAATCTCTGCAAGCCTTGGTTTTTCCACCTACGAAATGAAACTCATAAAACCGTGCGTGATTGCTCTGAGCAGTAAATGTCATGATGCTTCAAAGCACTTAGCACAATGTCAGACATTTAACACGTGCTTAATAAATGTGGGTTATTTTGGGCTTCCCTGGTGGCGCAGTGGCTGAGAGTCCGCCTGCCGATGCAGGGGACACGGGTTTGTGCCCCGGTCCGGGAGGATCCCACATGCTGCGGAGAGGCTGGGCCCGTGAGCCACGGCTGCTGAGCCTGTATGTCTGGAGCCTGTGCTCCGCAGCGGGAGAGGCCACAACAGTGAGAGGCCTGCATATTGCCAAAAAAAAAAAAATTGTAGATACACAACTTTTCCATAATTTATTTGTGACTGCTGAAGAAGACAGCTCAGGCACAGAGGGCAGTCAGCAGTGAGCAGTGGAAGAAGTGGAGAACTAGATATTTATTTAGATATAATCTCACTGATATTCTCATTGTACAAATGAGGAAACGGGCCCAAAACTGTTCTAAGTCTTACCCAAAGTCTTACTGCTCGTGGGTGCATTTCTTTTTTAATTGATGTTTATTATTATTTTTTTTTGCGGTACGCGGGCCCCTCACTGTTGTGGCTTCTCCCGTTGTGGAGCACAGGCTCCGGACGCTCAGCCTCAGCGGCCACGGCTCACAGGCCCAGCCACTCCGCGGCATGTGGGATCCTCCTGGACCGGGGCACGAACCTGCGTTCCCTGCATCGGCAGACGGACTCTCAACCACTGTGCCACCAGGGAAGCCCGTCATGGGTGCATTTTAATATACACAAATGAGCTTCTTGCCCCAGATCATGTGATTCTGATGATTAGATAGTGCATCTATTCCTTGACTTTGCCCCTTCTTGTGAGACTTAACAAATATTCACAGAGAAGCATTCAAGGATGTTCATGACAGCACACTTATGGGCAAGGAATTGGAGGCAATCTGGGTGTCTGTCACAGGGGAGATGGAATCAAAGGGGTAAATGCCAGCAGCAATAGACTAGGTGTCCATGGGCCACCATGCACAGATCTTGAAAACAGTGCGAAGAAAGTGAGAAACAGAAAGAACTCTTGGGCACAAAAGCATTTAATTAAAATAAGGGCACACAGAACAATACATATTTTATAAGGAAATGTACAAATAAAATGATACATGTCAAAAATTAAAATAGGTGCATATTTGGGGAAAGGCAATGGTAGTGGAGAAAGGAAAAATACATCAACTTATACAAAAATCAAGAGAAGATATTTACACGTATTAGCGATGAGCCTGTGCCATAAATGGGACAAGAATATGAGTATGGATTAACTCTCTACACTGGAGGGTCCAAATAAATACATAAATAAATAGCAAAAGAGGGGATTATCTATAGTGGGAGGGTTGAGAGATGTTTCTGAATGCCGTTTCCATAAAGAGGCAGACTTGCTATGTCCCAGATATTGGGACATCTAAAGCCAGGCTAATGACAGTCCTGTGGGATGCTAGAGTTTGATTTACTTGGTAAGATGATGTGACTGTCAACATGAGTATCCTACTGGCAGGGATGAGTGCTGAGAGCCATGGAATTTGCCCCATTGCCAATAGATCGCAATTTTCTCAGCGTTCTGTTAGACATAATAATACCTTACATTTGTATGGCATTTAATATTATTCAAAGCACTTCTGTGTTTACAGTTTCATTTGATTTTCCTAAGAGAGGCTAAGTGAATTATGCATTTCACAGATGAGGACTCTGAAACATGGAGTGTGTTCAGTTACTATTCCAAGGTCACAAAAGCTAGTAGAAAACCTGGTCTAGAAGCCATGTCTCCTGAGCAAATGGTATGCTTCTGTTCCTTCTCCTGGTGAAAATAGAGAGCTGACTGGGGCATACCCTTTTTGCCTTCTGATATCCCCCCCATGAGCAGGACACAATATAATTTCTTTGGCATCCTTGCCCCAGAAAATGCATAACCTGAATTTAATCATGAACGAATGCCAATTAAACCCAAACTCTATGAATGATTATAGAAGCTACCCCAATCTGAGTTTCACTCTGAATCACGAAAAAAACTTACACTAATCCTCCAAATTACAGAATAGGCTTCAACCTATGTGTCAGAAGTGGATGTCAGCTTCTACCCAGATGGCCTCAAGGACAGCACTGGGAAGGATACTTACACTGAGAAGGGTGAAAGGAGGAAGAGGAACCTCTGAAGGAAGTAACAGAGTGGTAGGGGAAAGAGAAGTGGCAGACGAAAAGAGGGAAAATGGCTGGTCAGGAGTGTCCAATGTTTCCTATCAGTCTAGAGAGATGAGTGCTGGGAAGGGGCTAATGAATGTCACTCCTTACTTCCTTTAAGATGACTGTTTCAGAGGCGGGTATGTCTAGGCAGAAGCCAAATAGGTATGAGGAAGAGTGTCATGGTGGATGGCCCCATTTGCTTGTTCTTATTGACCTGCTTCATTTTTTTTTTTTTTTTGCGGTACGCGGGCCTCTCCCGTTGCGGAGCACAGGCTCCGGACGCGCAGGCTCAGCGGCCATGGCTTACGGGCCCAGCCGCTCCGCAGCACATGGGATCTTGCTGGACCGGGCACGAACCCGTGTCCCCTGCATCGGCAGGCGGACTCTCAACCACTGCGCCACCAGGGAAGCCCCTGCCAACACTTTTATCTTGGACTTCTAGCCTCAGAACTGTGGCACAAAAAAATTCTGTACCGTGAGTGGTACTTTGTTACAGAAGCCTTAGGAAAATAATACATTCACTTTATATTTTGGACTTTCTTTTCAGATTGATCCCAATAGGATCATTCCTTGTGGTAATCAGCAAAGCAAGAAAAATCATGGAGCTCTTCCATCTAAGCATGCCCAGTCCTGAGTTGAAACAAATTTCAAACAGTCTGTGAACTAACATACATGTTATGGAACACATGCTGTAGGGGGATGGATCCCCTAACCCACATATGTTGGTGTACAAATGTATTTTTCTATGACTCGATTTTTAAGCAACAGCTTTGCTGAGATATAATTGAAAACTATCACTGTTATTTACTTTTAGAACATTTTCATCTCCCCCAAAAGAAACTCCATATTCAGTAGCAGCCCTTCCCCACTACTCCTTTACCCCAGTCCCTGGAACCACAACTTTCTCTTTCCATTGATTTGTCTATTCTCGACATTTCATACAAATGAAATTGTATAGTATGTGGTCTTCTGTGCCTGGCTTCTTTCACTGAGCATAATGTTTTCAAGGTTCATCCATGTAGCAGTACTTCATTTATTTTTATTGCCAAATAATATTCTGCCATCTAGATATATGACACTTTGTTTACCCATATCAGTTGCTGGACACTTGGCTTGTTTCCACTGTTTGGCTATTATGAACAATGATGCTATGAGCATTTGTGTACAGGTTTTTGTGTGTACATACGTTTTCATTTCTCTTAGGAGTGGAATTGCTAGGTCATATAATAAAACCATGTTTAACATTTTGAGGGATGGTTAAGCTATTTTCCATAGCAGCTGAACCATTTTACACATTTTACATTCTCTCCATCAATGTAAAAGGGTTCCAATTGCTCCGTATCCTAACCAATACTTGCTATAGATGTCTTATTTTAGCCATTCTAGTGGATGTGAAGTGAAACCTCATGGTTTTGTCTGCATTTCCCTAATGCATAATGATGTTGACCATCTTTTGATGTGTTTATTGGCCATCTGTATATCTTCTTTGGAGAAATGTCTATTCAAAACCGTTGCCTGTTTTAAAAAAAAAATAAACTTTATTTTTAGAGCAGCTTAAGTTCACAGCAATATTGAGTGGAGAGTACAGAGAGTTTCTATATACCCCTGGCCCTCACACAAACACAGATGCCCCCACTATCAACACTTCACACCAGAGTAGTGCTTTCGTTATGACTGATTAACCTACACACGTCATCATCACTCAAAGTCCATAGTTTGCATTAAGGTTCACTCTTGGTATGTACAATGGGTTTTGACAAATGTATAATGACATTTACCCCCGTTATAGTATCATATAGAACAGTTTCACTGTCCTGAAAATCCTTTGTGCTCTGCCTATTCATCCCTCCGCCACTCCCAACCCCTGGCAACCACAGATCTTTTTATTGCCTCCATAGTTTCGCCTTTTCCAGAATGTCATATGGTTGGAATTATACAGTACGTAGCCTTTTCAGATTGGCTTCTTTCACTTAGTAATATGCATTTAAGTTTCCTCCATATCTTTTCATGACTTGATAGCTCATTTATTTTCAGTGCTAAGTAGTATTCCACTGTGTGGATGTACCAGAGTTTATTTATCTAATAAGCTACTGAAGGACATCTTGGTTGCATGCAAATTTTGGCAGTTATGAATAAAGCTGCAATGAAAATTTGTGGACAGGTTTTTGTTGGGCATAATTTTCCAGTTCCTTTGGGAAAATACCAAAGAGTGTGATTACTGGATTATATGGTAAGAATATGTCTAGTTAAAAAAACCCCAAACTGCCCGATTGTCTTCCAAACCATTCTGCATTCCCACTGTCAATGAATGCGAATTCTTTGCCTATGTTTTAGCTGGGTAATTTATCAGTTTATTGTTAAGAGTTTTTAAAAAGTATATTCCGGATATAAGTTCCTTATCATTCTGACTGCTGGGCCTCTTCAAGTTCCCTAGACCATATCTGCATCTGGGTTGGCCATATAGAAGAAACATTCTGCTATTCCAAATGCCATGCCCTGGAGGGGTGTTTGAGGACTGTGTGATGCTCCTCCAGGCCCATCTACAGTTCTTCGAGTTCTATGGCTCTACCTCCATGGAAGGTGGGAAAGACTGGGTCTTAAATTAGCAGGCTACTTATAATCTTTTGCTTAGGTCATAAATTTTGTTCCCTAAGTCATTCAGGTTCTTGAGGTTTAATACTCAGAAACCAGTCTTTAAACTCACACTCTTTTCTCAAATGATTATTTTGGCCATCAGCATTACAATCTATTTTAAAATTCTAAAGCGAGAGTTTGAGTCCTTGGCTACTTGCCTCCCTGATGCCTCTGGTTGAGTTTGAATGGGAGCAGGGGCCAGGATATAAGGATGTATCACTATGAAATATTATGTTGCTATAAATGATGGGTGTCCAAAAGCACGCTGAGTTCAAACAGGTACAGGCTGCAAAGTAGTTCAGCTCAGGGACAGAAATTAAGTCAAGAGTCATTCTGAAGAACGGCCAGCAACTTTGAACTCTGGCTCCCCAGGGCTCTGTATGTGTCCAGGGAGGTTACGGTGTCAGAAATGCAACTGGAAGTAGCTTAAGCAAAGAGAAGAATCTATTTTGAGAAAATCACGGCATCTCACAGAACTTCAGCACCAGAAAGTGTTTAGGCTTCAAGAACAAACAGAGTTAGGAACTCAAATACAGTCACATTCTTCACCTTTTCTGGTCCACGAGATTGCTGAAAACTGTCTTTGCATCTCCCAGTGGCATTGAAAGATAGCCTATCTTTCTTTCTCAAGTACTTTTCCAAAATTCCCAGAAAATAACAGTCAGTTTCCCAAATTAGTATCAATGAAATGTGGCCAGGGTGGGTCCACTTTAATAACATAGACATTTCCATGGTTACTGGGTAGATAGTGTGGTGGAGGGTAGGAGAAATTCCACCCCCCACCCCCCAAAAAGTGATTTGCTGGTGGACACATCTGTTAGGTGCTCTCTTTGTTGTTCCTGACTGAATACAGCTGGAAATGCAAACTTCTTAGACCAGCATATGAAGACCTCCAAAATCTCCCTCTAATCTTTTTTCCCTACTTCTGTCAATTCCTGTATCTTTCCCTATACCCTGAGTCTGATAGTACCAAGTTGTTTTCTCTTCCTGGAAGGCACTATGTTTTTTTTTGCCTGTTCACATTTTTTTCTTGGTTTGGAATGCCTTCTCCTCCCTAGTTTGCCTGGTAACTTCTACTCATCTTTTGGGTGCAGCTCAGTGTTACTTCTGGAAGCATTCTTGACTTAACAAAAGCAGAGTTTATTGCTCTTTGTATGTTTCATTTTATTTACATTGTCCTAGGGCCCCATCACATTGGATTATACTTGTCATGTAATCTGTCTCCTTTCTTTGCCACCTGGGACATTCTTAAAGGCAAGACTATATCTTGAACATATTTGTCTCAATGGCAGCTTGTTTCCAGCTGGTATACATAGCAGAGGTTCAATAAATTCTCACCAGTTCTTTTATTATTTTTCTTTTTTTCCCCCAGGCCTAAATCATCTCAGCACCCCAGCTCCCTAGACTATCAGCAAACTGAGAAAATGCAGATTGATTGGTTTTTATCCTTGCTTTTTACCCTCTTTTTTTAAAAAATTAATTTATTTAATTAATTTATTTGTGGCTGTGTTGGGTCTTCGTTGCTGTGCACGGGCTTTCTCTAGTTGTGGCGAGCGGGGGCTACTCTTTGTTGAGGTGCACAGGCTTCTCATTGCAGTGGCTTCTCTTGTTGCGGAGCACAGGCTCTAGGTGCACAGGCTTCAGTAGCTGTGGCACGTGGGTTCAGTAGTTGTGGCTCCCGGGCTCTAGAGGTCAGGTTCAGTAGTTGTGGTGCACGGGCTTGGTTGCTCCGCAGCATGTGGGATCTTCCTGGACCAGGGCTTGAACCTGTGCCCCTGCATTGGCAGGCGGATTCTTAACCACTGCGCCACCAGGGAAGCCCTTTTTCCTCTTTTTTAAAAATTAAATTTTGACTATGTAAATGTAATTTAATTTTGTTACCCCCTCCTTCATTAAAATTAAATAAAAAATCCTTCACTCACATAAAAATAAAAGACATAATACAGCACGCATGCACACGCACGTGTACACATGCACACACATACACCATGAAACAGAAGAGGTGAACAAAACAAAAGACAAGATTAAAAATCCCTGAAATGTTAAATTTTGGGGCTTACATGGGAGTAGGAATAATGGCGACAGAATTCTGATTCTCCTTTGGGCAGTTTTAAATTCCTGTCTCTTAATCCCAATCAGAAAACAGGCAGCTGGTGCATCTCTTTGTCTCTCCTTTCACCCCATTTCTTCTCTCTTGTCCTTTGCCTCCTTGCAAAACCAATTATGGATTGGGAGGCCAGGAATAGCAGAAGGGAGACAATCTTTCCCCCTCTTCCTTCTTCATATTGCTTTGGGCCTGTATTTTCCCACCTTCATCTGATGGAAACACTTTCACTCTTGTTTCTATCGTATTTTGCTATAATTTGTAAATTCATGGACAGAGTAGGTATCCTTTTAAACATCTGAATTTTTAAAAGGAAAATTTACAAAGTTGATAATTTTAAACGTAAATTAATGAATTCTCAAATTCTCCAGGTTTCTAAGCTAATCAGCTATTTTCACTGTACCTGGGCAAAACTGCATCCGAATTCGTATTAAGTGGATTTGCAGGATGAAATCTAAATTTACCTCTTTCACTCTCATTTAAATCCAGAAAAACAAAATAAAAATCTATACAAAATTATTAAATACTCAGGGAGGGTTTGACTAAAGAGCGCAGGTTTAGAGCAGCGATTCCCGCAGTGTTCTGAAACTCAAAGCCAGTAACCAATGCCGATCGGTAACCCTTTCCATCCCTTACTTACAGGATAATAAAGGTAAAGAGCAGGAGAGGATAAAAAAGGGTTACATTTCAAAAGAAAATATAAATCTTAAAATGGAAAAGCCATCGGAACCTCACAACGCAGATTACGTTGGAAAAGAACAAACCCAGGTAGAGCGTGGAACTTTGCAGAACCGCGTTCTGCTCCCGGACCCTGGCAGCTGACACTGGGAGGACTCCGCCTCCAGGAACAATCTCATTGGAGCTCACCTGCCCCTTTTCCGCATGCGCACAACGGGCAAACACTGCTGGCTCTTCTCGTCGCCTTTCCCACCCCCGAATTCCGAGCTCCGATTGGTTCGCTTCACGGGGCCGCCCCTTCGGTCCACCCAGTGTGGAAGCCGCCTCGGCGCTCCGCCCTCCCTGCCGGCAGCGGGCCGCGGCGCAGCCTGCAAACCCCGGCGGCGTGTGGGGATGGCGGCGACGGCGGTGACGGTTGGCAGGCTGCTGCGGCTCCGCGCGGCCGGGCCCGAGGGACACTGGCGTCGGCTGCGTGGCGCGGGGCTGCCGCGGGGCTTCCTGCAGCCCGCCTCGGCCGACGGGGATGCGGCCCAGAGGCGGCAGGTGGCTCACTTCACTTTCCAGCCTGACCCGGAGCCACTGGAGTACGGTGAGCTAGCGGCTGCCCTGTCCGCTCCCGCGCAACCCAGACTCCCAGGCCCGCGGGAGGTCATAACGGATGCCGCCCTGCCTGTTCTGGGCGGGGTCCGTCGGGCTGACCTCCTTGCATCCCGGCATAATCCCTGCCCTGCCCTCCGGAGCCTTGTTCTACCTTAGGGTCTGACTGTGATTTCCTCCTTGCTACATTTTTGTGACTACTCAACCCTCGAGAGGCAGCCCCTCGGCACCCTCGAGATGGGTGACAAGGCACACCAGGTGTGCAAGGGCCTGGGGGTGGAGGGGTGGTGCCAGGGACAGCCTCCCTTTCTCCGTTCTCTATCCTTGCTTTTCCAAGTGCCCCCCGACCCCCAGAGTTGCCCCAGCTTGCCCATTGCTGGGCCACAAAGTACAGGCATCGGTATGTTAAAAAAATAAATAAATAAAGCGCCCCTCCCCTTTTTTTTGCTTTAGTAGGTAAGAGAAAACGGAGGGACTAAAGTAACTGAATTGATTTCCCCAAGGTCACAGAAAACATCCAGCTTCCTATCTGAGCCTAGTACTAAGCTTGTGCTGGGCTAGGCTGCCACTTAGTCAAGGAGGGGTAAGCGATGTAGGTGACGATGTAGGTGATGGGCAGAGGAAGCCTTCAAGTGCTTCCAACGGCAGCAGACACGTAGCACCTCTCACGCTTCACGGTATGACAGTTGCATAACATTTACGGTTTCTTCTGCGAGTTTTCTGTAATCTCCAACAGATCCAGTGTCTATCATCAGAACATTGGAAACAATGAGAAAACAGCTACCTTTTCCTTGGCTAAGAACTTCTCACATGCTAGAGTTGACATTTTGCGAAGTGTGCCAGTATTTGCTTGTGAGTAATAAAAATGAACATTTATTGAGCACTTACCACAGGCAGGCATGGGCTGAGAAGTTTACATTCATCCTCTCATTTGATGCTTAGGACAACCTTAAGAGGTAGGTAATGTTGTTATTCCCAGTTAAGTTAAATGAGGTCTTGAGATGGTTTGTCCTGGATTACACAGATAAGTTAGTGGTAGCATCAGCTTTGGAATCTAATTGTTCAGATTCCAGAGCTTCCATTCTAAACGATGTGCTAAACTGCATGTGGAAACTATTTACTAAGAGGTGTTCCGGTTTTGTGAAATAGTAGACACCATAAAGGCGAATAGCGACTTTTTCTATTCAACAAGATGGACCTCGAATTCTGTCTTCAAAGCAAAGAAACTTTAGCCCGATACTTGAGAAATAGAGCATAGGTCTTCTTAACCTCCTTCCATAATTACGAAATTACTAAAACTTGAGTAAAATGATAATAAAATGTTTGTTCTTATTATAACAATAATAAAAGCATATCACAGATATTTTGGATAATAGAAAAGAGCAAAAAAAGAAAGTAATCTCACCACCCACCACTGTAAATATTGCTAATATTTTGGGGTGTATCCTTTAAGTATTTCCTTTCAGTTTAGTGGAATTAATGTATTCCACTAATAAAATGAGTGGAATAAAAGTTTCCCCTAATTGTAGTTTTAATACAGATACAATTTGCATTATTTAATCAGAAGCATTTTCCCATATTGTTATATAGTTTTTATAACCTTCTTTGGAAGAAGACATGTTCTGGGAATTCCCTGGGCGGTCCAGTGGTTAGGACTCCATGTTTTCACTGCCGAGTGCCCAGGTTCTATCCCTGGTTGGGAGACTAAGATCCCACAAGCCATGTGGCATGGCCAAAAAAAAAAAAAAGACGTGTTCCGTCGAGCAGAAACACTGTATAATTCAGTGGTTAAAATCTTGGCTCTAAAATCAGATTAGGCTAGGTTCCATCTTCACACTGTTACCTATAACTTTAAACTCATCACTTAGCCTCCATGAACCTCAATTTCTTTATAAGGAGTTAATAATATCTAATTTGGAAGGTTGTTATGAGGACTAAATAAGGATAACGTGCATAATGTACTTAACACAGTCTCTGACTACTAAGAAGCACTCGGTAAGTAAATGGAAACTTTTAATAATTACCTTTATGCTTTTGTTGTTACAGTTTTGCTGTGTTGTAAATAATTCAGATAGAAACATTTCAGGTATCTTTTACTGTATCTGAGATTATTTCTTTAGGATAAAGTCCCAGGGATAAGATTTCTGATTCGAAGATATGAACACTTTAATGGATTTTTAATGCATAGTTCAAATTACCAGTTCATACTTCTATTTGAGGTGTGAGAGTGTGAGTACTGGGTGTCATGCTAAAATCACAGGTGTACTGTGATACTGTGATTTGTAGTAAGAAATACATATTTGGTCTTTGTTCTGTTCCTGGCACAGAACTCTTGAAAATTCCCATGATGAGAGCAATAAAGGTGTCTTTAGTTATGTTACTGTTGACTTTTGGTAAGCCCCTAAGTCACCTAAGGATGGGAGCTGGTGACCCATGTGCTTAGAGGTTTGGAACTTTCAATCCCACCCTTCTGACCTCTGGGGAGGGTAGGGGGACCTCCAGGTCAGTGGATTGCCAATGGCCAATGATTTAATCAATCATGCCTAGGGAAGTCTCCCTAAAACTTCAAAGGACAGGGTTCAGATGGCTTCGGAGAGGGAAATCCCTGGTGGTCCCATGGTTAGGACTCTTGCTTTCACTGCCAGGGGCCTGGGTTTGATCCCTGGTTGGGGAACTAAGATCCCACAAGCCGTGCAGTGTGGACAAAAACAATAAAAATTAAAAATTAACCCTCCCCCCTCCCCAAACAGCTTCTGAGAGAGTGGCATTCTCAGAGAGCAGGGAAGCGCCTCACCTTCTCCCACACACCGTGCTCTGTGCAGCTCTTCCATCTGGCTGCTCCTGAGTTATATATAGTTTATTATAGTTATGATAAACCAGCGATCTAGTAAGTAAAATGTTTCTGGGTTCTGTGCACTGCTCTAGCAAATTAATCAAACCCAAGGAGGAGCTGTGGGAACCTCCCATCTTAAGCTGGTCAGTCAGAAGCACAGGTGACAACCTCACTTGGTGTTGGCATCTGAATTGGGGGAGGGGCGGTTTTGTAGGGCTGAGCCCTTAATCTGTAGGAGTTGAGATGAATTATAGGACACCCAGCTGGTGTTGCAGACTTGCTTGGTGATGTGTTAAAAAGACACATGCACTTTGGAATTGGTGTCAGAATCGTATGTGCTCATGCGTGTGAGTGTGTCTGCAGCGCGCGCTCACACACACACACACACACACACACACACACACTCGGGTATTTTGTGTATTTTAAAAATTGTACACGGGGTTATTTCTTCTCTCAGTGCTAATACTGTCTGCCATTCTTGAGCAGCTGCTCTGTTCCAGGTGTTGTGGTAGACATCAGTCTGTAATTCTCACAGTAACCTTGTGAGCTGGAGAATATTATGCTCATTTTACAGATGAGAAAATTGAGGCGTAGAGATGTTGGTGGCCTGCCCGAGTCTGATAAGCAGCACAAGAATTTGAACCCAGATGTGTCTAATGCCAAAGTCTCCCACACGTACTGTTGTACGTACTAATGAAGATACCTATTCTCTCTCTGCCTTTCTATGTTACTGTCTCTCTGCCTTTCATGCGTGCTACAGATAACTTTTATTCTTTTATTTTGGCTATTTTGACACGTGAAACGGACTCCTTAAATAGAGTGGTGGTCATGGTCAACTCTGAGAAGGTGACATTTAAGCTGCATGGTGAGGATTGATAAAGGAATCACCTCAGCAAGGACCAGAGTGGAAGCTTGTTTTCCAGGAAGAAACAAGGACAAGCAAGGGTGAAGGCCCTGAGGTGGGGTGAGATGTGCTGTAGGAGTCGAGAAGGCCACTGTGGTCGGGGATGTCCTGTGTACGGGACAGTAGGCAGCTTTCAAAGATCAACGGCATAATGAAGAATCTTTGTATTATGGGATGACGGCCTTCTTGCCAGTATTAGAATTTTTAGGGTTGGGAACAGTGTAAGCAAAGAGAGGTTAGAAAGCATGGAGTTTATATGAGGAACAGGAAGTAGTGAGTTTATTTGGAGGAGAACGAAAATGGGTGGGAAACAAGTTAGGAAAAGTAAACGGAGGCCTCTAAAGCTAGAGTAAAGTTTGGGGAGAAGGAAAGATTGAATATCTCTAACGCGCCTTTCACTGCGCCGGTGCATTACATATAGATTCAAATGTGGTTCTGTGGGCGGTGGAGGGCCATTGAGTGTTTTTAGGCAAGAAAGTGACCTGAGATGTCCTTGTATTATATTACTGGGCAAGTTTATAGAATGGATTGGTGAAGGGAAGGTAAAGAGGCAGAGAGATGCGTCAGAGAGATATTGTAATTGTCCACATGAGGAGCTTGAACTTGGTGAGTGTCAGTGGAAATGGTGGCATGTTTGGGAGGCTCTGGCACCGTTTTGCATGCAGGGGCTCAGTCAGGGGAAGGTGTATCGAAGGTGACTTCACATTTTCAACCTGGGAGGCTGAAAGGATGGTGAAGTGGTGGTCGCACTGATAGAAATGAGGGATGGCAGAGGAGAAGCACGTTTTCAGAGAGGGAGAGGGTGACTTAAATTTTGGATGTGTTGAGATGTCTTAGTCCTTTTGGGCTGCTGTAACAAAAATGCCAATAGGGCTTCCCTGGTGGCGCAGTGGTTAAGAATCTGCCTGCCAATGCAGGGGACACGGGTTTGAGCCCTGGTCTGGGAAGATCCCACATGCTGCGGAGCAACTAAGCCCGTGAGCCACAACTACTGAGCCTGCGCGTCTAGACCCTGTGCTCCACAACAATAGAAGCCACAACAATGAGAAGCCCGCACACCGCGATGAAGAGTAGCCCCCGCTTGCCGCAACTAGAGAAAGCCTGTGCACAGAAACGAAGATCCAACACGGCCAAAAATAAATAAATAAATAAATAAATATATTTAAAAAAATGCCAATAGACTGGGTGGCTTATAAACAACAGAAATTTATTTCTTATAGTTCTGGAAGTCCAAGGTCACAGCACTGGCAGATGA